ACAGAGATGTGAAGAGTGGCAGTTGGAATGGAACACAAATTATGGGGTATAAAAATGTCACCTGGACAGACAGGGAGGCCTATTTTCTACCAGCCAGCCGTTTGGTCTCAAAGTCTATGACAGACAGGAACAACAACGGGGGAATAGAAAGACAGAGAACAAAGCCAAAAAGAAAATCACCAAATTGCTTGTCAGAGAATGAAAACTATTGTTTCCAACAGGCTTCTCTGCTCCCAACAGACCTGCTGTCAACAACAAAGACGTGTTTGTGTTGTGTGTGTGTGTTAAACAGGCAAATTGTTGTGTTTTGTTTTCCTGAACAATTGAAACTGTATGCATCATTGCCCTATCTCTCTCTCTGACAAGAAAACATGGTTGCTGTCTTTTTTTCAACTTTCCACTTAGCAGTAAGACGTTACGCTTTCTGCTTCTAAGCTTACTACACTACAGTATAAATACTATTCTTGCTCTCTGCACTGATGCAATGAACTGCAATCCAACTACCCTAAAAGCTAAATACTTGTGTGTTTGACTGAGGACCTCTCTATTCCCATAGAGCAGGAGTTCCCAAACTTCCTTGCTTCATGACCCACCAATTGAAGTGTCTGAGTCGTGACCCACCATAAGGGTTGAGCGGTGGAAAAAACATACACAGACCAAAGAATAAGTAAAAAATATTTGCAGGTTCAAAGCTAAACTGTTGCAGTTTTAAAGCCAATTTCCTGCAATTCTACACATTTTGCCATAGAACTTGAGAGAAAATATTGCAGTTTTTAAGCTAATTTCCTACAATCCTACGCATGTTGACATGGCTAATGCTATGTTCTTATGCTCAAATATAACAAAATCAATGGGGGCCTTTTATTTTGTTTATTTTAAATTCTCAAAGACTATAGGCTATTATTGAAAAATATATAGGTCCATTATATTTTCTACATACTTTCTATCTGGTTTTAGTCATTTAAGTTTACACTGAAAGCGTTTTTCTATCCCTAAAATGTATTCCTAAAAACATTTGGGCAATGTCATCCCGCAACCCACCTGGACACCTGCCACGAGCCACAGTTTGGGAACCACTGCCACAGAGGACAGTGTGAGAACTAACATTAGAGTACTATTACATTCCAGTTCACCCCCTGGGTCATGAGCACTGTGTATTGCGTGTTCTGATCCAGGCTGAGGCACACCCAAACAAATGCTTATCCAAACCACGAGTCATGATGCAATGCTGTGCTGCACCATAGCCTGGTCCCAGATCTGTTTGTGCTGTCTTGCTAACTCGTATGGTCTTTGTCACAAGAAGTTGGCAAGACAGCACAAACAGATCTGGGACCAGGCTATCCAGATCTGGGACATATAGCTTCTTAGTAGCTGTTCTCTCTTGTCTTTGAGAACATCTTGCACTCTGTGCTTTACTCAACTCCAACACCTGACAGAAGAGGGGTTAGGAGAGAGATCAATCAGACAAACACATGCCTATGGGTCAGAGAACAAATCTCTCCATCGAGGAGAGAGAAACAAGAGCGAGAGAGAAAGAGAGAATCTCTGCAACTAAAATCAATCATAGCATCTAGTGTATCCAGAGAGCCAGTGAGTCAGAATGAGCCGGAGCAGGCCACCTCACATTGCATGCATGGGGACCCCAGAGTCCAATACTCAGCCCTGATGATAGCCTACAAATGACTTCATGCACAGCTGGGAGAGGGTCTTGTGTGTGTGTGAGTGTGTGTGTGTGTGCACATATATGTGTGTATATGCAACGCAGTGTGTGTGTGTGTGTCTTCTAGAGGGAATAGGCGTCTTCATGGACTTTACACTAGTGTGGTCATGTATGTTGATCTTGATTTGTTTAATTAACTGGAAATGGGGAAATGAGAGCTTACATTTCCTGGAAGAAAAGAAGGTGAAATGTCCTGCAGTTTTTTGTACTTTTACGCTTGGTCTACAGTTGTATTCATTGTGAAATGGAAAATGAAGGGGAGGATAAGAGTGGATGATGGAGGAGAAGAGAAGTGTGGATGATAGAGGAGAAGAGAAGAGTGGATGATAGAGGAGAAGAGAAGAGTGGATGATGGAGGAGAAGAGAAGAGTGGATGATAGAGGAGAAGAGAAGAGTGGATGATAGAGGAGAAGAGAAGAGTGGATGATGGAGGAGAAGAGAAGAGTGGATGATAGAGGAGAAGAGAAGAGTGGATGATGGAGGAGAAGAGAAGAGTGGATGATAGAGGAGAAGAGAAGAGTGGATGATGGAGGAGAAGAGAAGAGTGGATGATATGGAGAAGAGAAGAGTGGATGATAGAGGAGAAGAGAAGAGTGGATGATAGAGGAGAAGAGAAGAGTGGATGATGGAGGAGAAGAGAAGTGTGGATGATAGAGGAGAAGAGAAGAGTGGATAAACGGTATTTCAAAATGTATTTTTAATAAGGTGCTTAAAATCTCACATACATTTGTTTTTGTTTTCACAGGACAAGAACATCTATACCCCCAACCCGGGAACACATGATAAGCAGTGTAATAGAACGAGTTTCACTACTGTCCACATACATATACAGACTACCTCATTGTCACAGACTGGGTGGAGAGGACAGAATGCACAGATCACAGGTAATTAAGGCAACATGTCACAAGGTATTGAAGGTAAAGAGCATAAAGATAAAGTGTTCCATCACTGGGTCGTTCCACGAAAAGAGTGCCTTTGGCGTCCCGTTGATATTTTAAGTAGAAATTGTGCACCAATATCGAATTATATTAAATGAAGTGCCCTTTAACATAGACAACATGGAGCATTGAATCAATCTGAATGAATAAATAAATAAATAAAGACTGGATTAAGTGCCAAAATTCAGCATTTTGACAAGTCCCTCCGTGCACCCTCTGTGACTTCTAGGAAGATTTTAACCCACTTAACCCCAAAAGGTTCTCACCATCATTGTAAAGCCCTAGTTATTTTATCTAATAGCCAAATCATAGTGTAAAAGCAGGTGAGATGGTTCGACTCTGAGCAGGTCAAGCATAACATGTCAACCCTGTTACCCATAGATAGACAGGCTAGAAATGTGTTAACAATGTTTAAAAAAAAAGTATGCATTCAATTGCCACTCCCTGTTTTGCACACAACAAGCTTCCATTCCCCCTGGCTGATTTAAGATGAACTCGTCAACCCTGCTACGGTCAACCCAGTTACGGTCAACCCTGTTACTTTATTTGGCACTTACTATAGTATTTTTTTTATTTACCCTCTTGAGATGGGAAAATTTGTTTTTATGAAGCTGAACATGTGCTCTGACAGAATGTTCAAATCAGGTGAAATTCATGTTATTGTTTTACACCAAGTTACAGTTCTCAAAAGGCACCGAATTGGTGGAACGACCCCACTAGGTAAAGAGAAAAACCCTTTCTGTACAGGGAGAGTAAAACATGTTTTACAAGGACAAAGGAAAAGCCAAGCGCCATTCAGTACATACATACTGTATATAGTATCCCCCAGGGAAAACATATTTTTTCTGTGGTTGGCTGTGGCACAGCTGAGTTATGGGAGTTGGTGAGTGGTTTTGGGGATTAGCCCCACTTGTACAGGGGCAGGGGGTATGCCACTCATATTGAAAAGTCAGTTCCCAGTTACAGTCCCTTGTAGAGAAGTGCCTTACAGGACCGGTCACTCCCCAATCTGAGCAGAGGTGGTTCCTTCCCGTTCCCCTCTTTTTCCTGTTGGACGTCAGTTGGACATCAGTTCAATATCTGTGTTTTTTCTCTGTGGGAAGGTAAGCATCCCCTCCAAGTCCATCCCTGACCGTCCAGGCAAGGGAAGGCGCTGCTTACCGAACCACTACCTGCCTCTTGTTGTCTGTGTCCTCAGCACAGTGACTCCTGCTGGTGAACGTTGTGCATTAAATGTAGAGCAGCATCCTGGTCAAGTGACTTAATAGTTTGTGGTTTCCATACAGAATCAACCACAGTCTCAGCTGTGCAACAGCGGTATTCACATATTTCATTACAGAGTCTTTGTATTTGTCTCTGTATCAACTGTGTTAGTGTTCTTATCCCTCAATAAATAAATATCTGTTATAATAATGTAGAAATATTTAATGTTAAAACTTACTTCCTACTTCCTTATTCTGAACTGCTCATTAAAACGGATTGTGTGGTAACACCATGAGACTCACGCAGTAGAGCCTCGACACACACAGAGACGAGAGTTAAAAGCGCTGACTTTGCATGCCGAGAGAGACACACTCTGGCGTGCACCAGGGTGGTGTCCAATCATAGCTCACGACACTGGCAGGCACCAGCGCGGCTTCCAATCAATTAAATCCCTTAGGGAGAAAAAAGTTCTTGCATAATAAGTCTTGAGAGAGGGAGATAAAGTTAAAAAAGGTGACCACATGTCACTATTAAAAGACACGTAATATCACAGGTCATTTACAGAACAGCTTAGTTTGACAGTTTTACCCCCCTGCAATTCATAACCAGCAGACTAAAATGCTATGCGGTCCCTTGTTAGCACAGACTGGCACGGTGGGGCCTGCTGATCGGCTGCTAGAGCTACTCAGCCAATCAGGCTTCTCTTTCCTCATGAAGATCAGAGGATAGCCAGGCCACAGGGAAATCACCTGCCACAGAGTGCATCTTTAGACAACAACAGTCCCTCATCATGCCATGACCAGGTTCAACTGTAGTTTACATTATAAAAAAAGACAAGCCGATGCTGCATCAGAGGACCAACAGGCCAAACCGACACTTATAAAGAGTTAACATTAATGACTCTGTCTGAGGCCCTTGTCTGGCGCTTCTCATTGGCTACAAGGAAATCACAATGAATCACCGACCACCGTCATATTACATGTTTACAACTACAGTTATACTGAATAAAACGTAAAAGAGCGCAATGTTGGGCTTCCTATATCTCTCTTTTCTTCCTCTTCTTCTTTGTGCAGTGTGTTTTTTTCAAATGTTCCAGTCTTTGTTCTCCTCCTTGTTCCAGTCTTTTTGTGTGTTGTCTGTCAGACTGAGACAAAGACGTCTAGGTAGAGGCGGTCGTAGGATTCCCTGAAGAAGAGGATGAGCACAAGGCTGAAGGCACAGGAGCCCGTCAGACACCAGTTCAGCCACGACAACTCTGAGGAGAGATGGAAAAGGCTCATTAGATGTAGGTAACTCATCATTGAAGGTTACTCATTACATCTGTACCTCTATGCTCACTGCAGGCAAGTCATCATCGGTACACTACTGTACATCAACATCACAATGACCTTTATAACTGATGTCAAGAATAACCAATCACATAGATAAAGTATTGACTTCATGACTGTGTATAAACCGAACTGATAACATGCAGTAGTAGTAGTATAATGTGTTCTAATAGTATAATGTGTGGAAGTTATTCATGTCCGTTAACTCAAAACAAGCCCTAATCACGCAATGTATAGCCTAGAGGGTGAAATCGTTCAGAAATTGGCTGAACTTGGTGTCATGCATCTAAATAATGTAAGTAATGGCCTGTTTTCCCCTTCAGCGTTGAACTAAACTTGAACCTCTACGTTTTTATTTTCCCTCCTGTTTTGCTGTTCAAGCTCCAGTGGCCCTAGCTAAAAAGCTCAGCAGTCATGTAATGAAGAGGTAATGGAAGGCCATGTGGAGAGTGGGACTAATTGGTGTGAGCCATGGTTCTATTTCCACCTATACACATCAACTCCCACACACACAAACACGCACACGTAGAGCAACATACACCTTGACGCACACATTACTTCCTGTTACTGCCCCAGGAAGAAATCGATAGGTCTCCTTTCAGCTGCACATCACTAGGCATGCCCTCTCAACATGATGCAGAGGTGTGCGTGGGGGGAGAGAGAGAACGAGAGAGAAAGAGACAGAATACAGAGAAAGAGAAAGACAGTCACTAGAGAGAGAGTGTGAGAGAGAAACAGAGAGACAGAAAGAGAGAGAGAGAGAGAGAGAGAGACTAAAAGAGAGAGAGAAACTGAGCGGGGTGCCCAGCACCCCTACCACTAAAACAGGAACCATACGGCCTGATAAGGTAGAAGATGACAGCCCTTTAGCAGCTGGCAGGGCCCTGATAAAGAACCAGCAGGAACCAGCAGGACTAAATATAGAGAAATGAGGTCAAAACACACCGAACTGAGTGGAGCATGCATCTTAATTCCCCCTGCAGAGCATTTCAATTTCAGTTGCCCGGTCCTATAATGCAGTTGATCAATTGCCCCTGAAGTGAGCGGCTCAATCGATGGGTGAGAAGTGAGACTCCGGCTAGGTCAGCCATTTGGCCTGTTTGGGTAAATTATATGATTTGGCCCTCTGGCACATCTCAGAGTGAGTCAGCCAGGATAGATCCACCTCTCCACCAGGGTAAGGTGAAGCAGACAAGGGTGCATTGCCTTTTTGGCTTATTCTTTCACTTATTGTTGCTGCCTATACCTACAACGGGGTACACAGAGAACATTCATAGTATCCAGAGGGGAAGGGGACATAAGGGTGAGATAGAGAGTAGACTTTTTCTTGCTTATCCTTTCATTGGTGTCTCCACTAGCGTACTAAAGAACATCAGAACCTATTCCTGAAGCCAGAGAGAGAGAACATCTATTGGTCCAGAGCACAGAGAGTGAGAACATCTGTGGGTATTTTTATTTGCCAAGGCAGCAGCTACTCTTCCTGGGGTCCAGCAAAATTAAGGCAGTTATACATTTAAAAAAACATTACAATACATCCGTAACAGATTGCACAACACATTAAAGTGTGTGCCCTCAGGCCCCTACTCCACTACCACATATCTACAACACAAAATCCATGTGCACGTGTGTGTATAGAGCGTATGTTATCATGTGTGTGTATGCATGTGTCTGTGCCTATGTTTGTGTTGCTTCACAGTCCCTGCTGTTCCATAAAGTGTATTTTTATCTGTTTTTTTAAATCTGATTCTACTGCTTACATCAGTTACCTGATGTGGAATAGAGTTCCATGTAGTCATGACTCTATGTAGTACTGTGCGCCTCCCATAGTCTGTTCTGGACTTGGGGACTGTTGAAGAGACCTCTGGTGGCATGTCTTGTGGGGTATGCATGGGTGTCTGAGCTGTGTGCCAGTCGTTCAAACAGACATGTGCTTTCAACATGTCAACACCTCTCACAAACACAAGCAGTGATGAAGTCAATCTCTCCTCCACTTTGAGCCAGGAGAGATTGACATTCATATTATTAATGTTTGCTCTCTGTGTACATCCAAGGGCCAGTCGTGCTGTCCTGTGTTGAGCAAATTGCAATTTTCCTAAGTCCCTCTTTGTGGCACCTGACCACACGACTGAACAGTAGTCCAGGTGCGATAAAACTAGAGCCTGTAGGACCTGCCTTGCTGATAGTGCTGTTAAGAAGGTAGAGCAGCGCTTTATTATGGACAGACTTCTCCCCATCTTAGCTACTGTTGTATCAATATGTTTTGACCATGACAGTTTACAATCCAGGGTTACTCCAAGCAGTTTAGTCACCTCAACTTGCTCAATCTCCAAATTATTTATTACAAGATTTAATCGAGGTTTGGAGTTTAGTGAATGATTTGTTCCAAATACAATACTTTTAGTTTTAGAAATATTTAGGACTAACTTATTCCTTGCCACCCACTCTGAAACTAACTGCAACTCTTTGTTAAGTGTTGCAGTCATTTCAGTCGCTGTAGTAGCTGACATGTATAGTGTTGAGTCATCCGCATACATAGACATTCTGGCTTTATTCAAAGCCAGTGGCATGTCATTAGTAAAGATTGAAATAAGTAATGGGCCTAGACAGCTGCCCTGGGGAATTCCTGATTCTACCTGGATTATGTTGGAGAGGCTTCCATTAAAGAACACCCTCTGTGTTCTGTTAGACAGGTAACTCTGTATCCACAATATAGCAGGTGGAGTGAAGCCATAACACATACGTTTTTCCAGCAGCAGACTATGATCGATAATGTCAAAAGCCGCACTGAAGTCTAACAAAACAGGCCCCACAATCTTTTTATTATCAATTTCTCTCAGCCAATCATCAGTCATTTGTGTAAGTGCTGTGCTTGTTGAATGTCCTTCTCTATAAGCATGGACAGAGAGCGAGAACATATGTGGGTCCAGAGCACAGTGGACAGAGAGCGAGAACATCTGTGGGTCCAGTGCACAGTGGACAGAGAGCGAGAACATCTGTGGGTCCAGTGCACAGTGGACAGAGAGCGAGAACATCTGTGGGTCCAGAGCACAGTGGACAGAAAGAGAGAACATCTGTGGATCCAGAGCACAGTGGACAGAGAGAACATATGTGGGTCCAGAGCACAGTGGAAGATGAAAGAAGAAGTGAAAAGGATGTTTCATCCTGCAGTAGCACCGTCATTAATCAGGTTAGCTCAGTAACCTGTTGCCTGGTGGTGTGGCAGTGGTGTGGAAGCAGGTTAATGGAGTTGTGTTTCTCTGACCGCTCTGTCTCCACAGCCCGCCTGCCCCAGAATCACCCATTTAGATAGGAGACTAAGAGAACAGAAGGGAGGAGAGATATGTGAATGGGTGTGGAGTCTGAATGAATGCTAATGTGTCTATGTATGCCTAACAACATGTATTTTGGCTAAGCAACTCGAGCGGTCATGGTCCCACTGACATCATCAGTGAGGAGTGGCGGGGCTGCAGTGTGTAGAAAGTTGCTTGAACAGCAATACACAGGGGAATAGGAGTGGACATAAATCCCTTTCCCTTTCTGTACATTAATAATGAAAGAGCCTCTGGGGAGAGATACGCTGATGCAATTCCTCACAGGCTATCATAGCTTCAGTAGCTCAGTGATAATCCCCAACTGACAGTTAGAAAGGACAATTTAAATTATGTTTTCACTTCTTCCTCTGGCTATCACCCTGGGGCACCACACACACACACAGACACGCAGACACACAGGGGCTTGGTGGATGAACGCTGGATCAGGAGCCAAAGCCACTTATCATACCGCAATCATTCCTAATTGTGGCCGATGATGCTGCGTTTAAAATGGACGTAGCGTTTGAGAGCTGGTTAAATGTCTTCTCATTCTAACTTTACAGAGCTGTTTTTTAGGGGAATGGAGCTGGCTGATTGGCTGACATTAGCCAGAAATAAATTACATGAAATCATAAAATGTTCAATGAAACAAAATTTGAATAATGATTTTCTATTACTGTCAGAATATTCAGACCGGGTGGGTAGACATTAAGACTGTTCCGTCATTTTAATATGACTGTGTGTATTTCTAATAGGACGTGTTTGATTATAGTGTCAACTGTTCCCACAATGATTATTCAAAAACATCCCAGAAATAAAAGTGCAACTGCATAACAAAAGGCTTGTTATGGATCAACATGGAGCTACAGTCTCCGATGCCTCCATAACATTCACAAAAGGTTACAAATTCCAGATATGCCAAAGAACATGTGATTAATCTCATAGTTTTGTATTTCAGACAAATACAGCAAAGTTTATGACAAAAACTAAGTTTAAGACAAAAAAGAAAAGTGCCAATTATTTCAGCTCTGTTTCCTTGTAGAAGTCTTGACAACAAACCCAACGATATTGCCGCCAATCCCACACAACCCCTAACTCCTCCACAGACGAGGAATCTTTGACGCTACGCTTCACAATACGGCTCCCTACTTTGTATTCCACCCACCACTCCATAGCTAAATCACACAGAGACGATGAAATCTAAAGTACCAACAGCTGCATGTATTCATACAGCCAGAATCGTCTCCATTCATGTTTTCAGACAGACTCAGTCCTATATAGGGAAAAGGGTGCCATTTGGGAGGCACCCTTAAATACCCTGCTGGAATAGAAGGAAGTTGGGATCCGCTGAGCAGAGACCCTTGCAACCCTTCAATATTAAAATAGACGTATAAGTTCAAAAAAAAAAAAAGATTGATACTTCAGAATTTGTTCTTTTGGCAGTGAGCAGCGAATGGAAATTTAAAATCAACTGTAACCAAAAAATAAATGAACATCTTTCAGGCTGAGATTGCCAATTTAAAATATAGGAGGGAGTGGGGTTGATTTTGAAAAGGCAAAGATTTATATGGAATTCTTCCGTTTTTAATTCCACACCACCACATATGCCACATCAATTACTGTATAAGGCTGAAATGAATGAAGGATGAATTAGAGGTAGAAAATAAAATATTGGAGCCCAATCATAAAGTGGAGGCTGCTGAGGGGAGGATGGCTCATAATAATGTCTGGAACGGAGCAAATGGAATGGCATCAAACCATGTGGTTGATGTATTCGATACCATTCCACCTATTCCGCTCCAGCCATTACCATGAGCCCGTCCTCCCCAATTAAGGTGCGACCAACCTCCTGTGCTATCATACTGTCATATTCCTTACAAATCTCTGTTTTGTGGTGGTGGAATGTTATCCTCAGTTCATCCCCATTGATTGATAAACAGGACACAGACAACAGGAACTGGATTTAGTCATAGTCTCCATCCGTTAGTACGTTCGTCACACGCGGTATCTCAGACAGCACTGGCCCGATTTTGACGAAACTTGGGTGAATGACGCGTCTTGCCATAGAGAGCCACCATTTACAAAATGGCATCATTCGTGGGGGGACGACATGTTTACTGTTGCCTTTTAATTAGCTGTCTCAACAACATGTAAACCAATGGTCTCTGCATTCCTATAGGAACATGTACATATCATATTAATTGTTCCTAACACTGATCCCTGAGGAACACCAACTGCTCTACTTTTATAAGGCCGAATTACTGGCAGTCATCAAGAGTGTCCAGTCCTCACAGGAATACCACAAGAGTCAGATACTCAAGATGCCTTGGGCCCGAACTATAGATCTTAGACCAGGCTCAGCTGGGTATAGCCTCTGTCATCACTCAGTCGGAGTATCACTCAGAGCAGAAGAGAGAGAGCGAGAGACCCAGGGGTAACAGAAACCACACTACTGTCTGTGCCAAAGCTCTCTCATCTCAGTTTAATCTTCCTGGGTGTCAGAGGGAGAGAGTGTGGGAATCTGCCAACACTGTTCCCTTCACAGTTCCCATCATATGGGCAGCCTCCAGCCTCCAGCCTCCAGCACACAGACAGACCCCTCTGTACACATCCACCAAGCTGTCATCCACCACCACCACCGACTTGAAGAGGAAAATGTATACTTTGAGGCCTGTGTCCGTTTGCTGATCCTATAGTACAGACATCTCCATCTGACACAGCCTGGCTGTTGACAGTCGACACTGTGTCTACCTCCCAAATAACACCCTATTCCCTATTACCTTGCACTACTTTGGGGGACCAGCCAGACTATCCACCACCTGTACTCTGGGGGACCAGCCAGACTATCCACCACCTGTACTCTGGGGGACCAGCCAGACTTATCCACCTCCTGTACTCTGGGGGACCAGCCAGACTATCCACCACCTGTACTCTGGGGGACCAGCCAGACTATCCACCACCTGTACTCTGGGGGACCAGCCAGACTATCCACCACCTGTACTCTGGGGGACCAGCCAGACTATCCACCACCTGTACTCTGGGGGACCCAGTGAATCTCATGAATAGTAATGCAGTTCGCAGAAATATGAATATTTTCTATCTATTTACTCAAAAGTGTTTGAGGGGGGAATCCTGTCAAGTTCTCAAAGCATTATTCATCATTCCACCTTAGTGACTTTGTGATTGTCTAACCTTCCAGTTAAGGCTAATCAGACAAAGAAGAGCTCTGCAAACAGAATGGAGCTCAGCAAACAGAGGAGAGAAACAGGGGTTTCTTCCCAAATGGCACCCTAGTCCCTTCATAGCGCACTACTTTTGACCCGGGCCCGGTCAAAAGTAGTGCACTATATAGGAAATAGGGTGCCATTTGGGATGCACACACAGAGAGGAGGCCTAATGCTTTGGGTCCACTGACTTTAATTTCTACAGGCTCCAGACCTGCTCCTGTTCAAACCAGGAAAATGATGGAGAAAGCGAGGTAGAGATAGTCTGTCCTCTGTTTAATACGCTGTGCTTACAAATGATACAGTGGGGAGAAAAAGTATTTAGTCAGCCACCAATTGTGCAAGTTCTCCCACTTAAAAAGATGAAAGAGGCCTGTAATTTTCATCATAGGTACACGTCAACTATGACAGACAAATTGAGGAAAAAAAATCCAGAAAATCACATTGTAGGATTTTTAATGAATTTATTTGCAAATTATGGTGGAAAATAAGTATTTGGTCACCTACAAACAAGCAAGATTTCTGGCTCTCACAGACCTGTAACTTCTTCTTTAAGAGGCTCCTCTGTCCTCCACTCATTACCTGTATTAATGGCACCTGTTTGAACTTGTTGTAAAAGACACCTGTCCACAACCTCAAACAGTCACACTCCAAACTCCACTATGGCCAAGACCAAAGAGCTGTCAAAGGACACCAGAAACAAAATTGTAGACCTGCACCAGGCTGGGAAGACTGAATCTGCAATAGGAAAGCAACTTGGTTTGAAGAAATCAACTGTGGGAGCAATTATTAGGAAATGGAAGACATACAAGACCACTGATAATCTCCCTCGATCTGGGGCTCCACGCAAGATCTCACCCCGTGGGGTCAAAATGATCACAAGAACGGTGAGCAAAAATCCCAGAACCACACGGGGGGACCTAGTGAATGACCTGCAGAGAGCTGGGACCAAAGTAACAAAGCCTACCATCAGTAACACACTACGCCGCCAGGGACTCAAATCCTGCAGTGCCAGACGTGTCCCCCTGCTTAAGCCAGTACATGTCCAGGCCCGTCTGAAGTTTGCTAGAGTGCATTTGGATGATCCAGAAGAGGATTGGGAGAATGTCATATGGTCAGATGAAACCAAAATATAACTTTTTGGTAAAAACTCAACTCGTCGTGTTTGGAGGACAAAGAATGCTGAGTTGCATCCAAAGAACACCATACCTACTGTGAAGCATGGGGGTGGAAACATCATGCTTTTGGGCTGTTTTTCTGCAAAGGGACCAGGACGACTGATCCGTGTAAAGGAAAGAATGAATGGGGCCATGTATCGTGAGATTTTGAGTGAAAACCTCCTTCCATCAGCAAGGGCATTGAAGATGAAACGTGACTGGGTCTTTCAGCATGACAATGATCCCATACACACCACCCGGGCAACGAAGGAGTGGCTTCGTAAGAAGCATTTCAAGGTCCTGGAGTGGCCTACCCAGTCTCCAGATCTCAACCCCATAGAAAATCTTTGGAGGGAGTTGAAAGTCTGTGTTGCCCAGCGACAGCCCCAAAACATCACTGCTCTAGAGGAGATCTGCATGGAGGAATGGGCCAAAATACCAGCAACAGTGTGTGAAAACCTTGTGAAGACTTACAGAAAACGTTTGACCTGTGTCATTGAGAAACTTTTGTTATTTACCAAATACTTATTTTCCACCATAATTTGCAAATAAATTCATTAAAAATCCTACAATGTGATTTTCTGGATTTTTTTTTCTCATTTTGTCTGTCATAGTTGACGTGTACCTATGATGAAAATTACAGGCCTCTCTCATCTTTTTAAAGTGGGAGAACTTGCACAATTGGTGGCTGACTAAATACTTTTTTTCCCCACTGTATATGAACCTCCGCTAGACCCAGATAATGAATACCAGGCTGTGAGAAATAAAACAGTTTTTCTTAATAAGTCTGGGAAGCTAATTCTTGAATCTATTTCTTAAGATTGAAAATGATCCTCAGTGGATATGGATGGCACATCTGACCTCTTCAACTGGGTTTGAATCTGACCCACGGCTCTAGAGCTCTCTCCTATCTACTTCTATCTCTTTCTATTTTGTGTTGTAGCTGTGCTCTACCTGTCAGTCTTACCTGTGCTGTAGAAGGTGAGGAAGAAGAGGAGGCAGCCGGTGACCAGGTTACCGAGGAAGGTGACCACGCCACAGGTGATGCCCTCGGGCACGGGGTACACGGTCTCGATGAAGAGCTCAAAGAAGATGGGCACACTACTGTTGATGAAGATGCCCACCAGGATACAGGAGGTGTACAGGGTGGCTGAGGGGAAGACAGAGAGGGGCGGGGGGGTAATCAATCAATCAATCAATCAATCATCACATTTTAAAAAGCAGAGGACAGGGAGTCAGGGCTTAATCAATCACATTTGACTTATAAAGCCCATTTTACAACAATAGGTGTCAAAGTATTTTACATATGGCACTTTAACTAGTGTGAAATGACACTAGTCTAGTGTGACCATAAGAACAGTGTCACCCTGAGAAGGCCTCCAGGTTCTCATTGTTACATATCAAAGCTTACTCATAATGTCATTCCAGCTAAGACAATGGTGGTTTAACAGTGGGTGGTGGATTGGGGAAAAAACCACAGGCAATACCCCCTGCTGTGCAGCTAGTGTTTTCATGAGATTGACTACATCTAGTTACTCTCAGGGTACAGAGGGATGTTTCTGTTCAAATGCAAGAGGCAAATTGTGTTGGTAAGTGCCATATGCGGCTGGCCGATTCCCCCAGTGTGTGTGTGTGTTTCTATGTGCGTGCGGGCTCCCGTGTGTGCCTGTGTGTGTGCATGTGTCCCCAATATGCTTGCACGCATGCGTGTGTTTGTGTGTGCGCCCAGTGTCTGTGCGTGTGTCCGTGCTTGTGTGTGTGTGTGTGTGCCTTGGCCACCACTGATCGAGGTCTCAGATGCTCTGAGGCTGAGCCCAGGTGTGGGTGAGGAGATTAAGCCATCACTGTGGAGCAGAGCATTGCAGCATCCCAAATGGCACCCTATTCCCTATTTAGGGCACTACTTTTGACCAGAGCCCTATGGTAGTGCACTATATAAGGAATAGGGTGTCATTTGGGACAGAGCATGGCTCGGTCTCCTCCGTCTCCTTTATCACTGCAGATTGGGCCAAATCAACTCCTCATTAGCCAGCACCGCTCTAAATCACACTGCTGCCTCAGAGGACCCTGCCTGCTTGCCGCTGTCACAGAGGAACTGAGTCGATGCAACTGCACCGACGACACAGTCATCAAATCCTGAATGAATATCCCCTCTTCCTCTCTTCTCTTCCATCATCCCTTTGTTCAACCACCCCCATCCTGCTCTAATGACAAACTGGTATCAAACACAGACAACCTCTAGTGTCCCACGGTCCCACGGCTGCTCTGTTCCTCCCACTACATATGTCTCAGTCTCTCCCAGGTTGCAGCTAGTTGATCACCAGGGGCTGGTGCTGCTTCATCACAATATTTTAGACTTTTCATTAGATGAAGTATGGCAGTAGAGCCGTGGAGAATGTGTCCAAGGGAAGACCCAAGGCTGTCAGCGAATCACTTTTACATTAATGATAATAGACGTTGTTGAAGAACAAAACCAGTGAAGAAGTTGTGTAAAAAATACAGATTATTATTGATTGAATAAGTGCACATGCTGAGGATTTCAAAAAAGGATAACAAAGAGGTAGAGGCTGCTACCAGAGCTATGTCTAATGCCTCCCACGTACACTACACCAGGTGGATGGGCAATCCTGGAGTCTGTTAGCTTGGCACTGTCAGCCAGAAGCAAAAGGATTTTAAAAAATACTGATGCCAAGCACAAATATTATGATGGATGAGAATGCTAGAGCTGGTGAATGTGAAGTTAAATATGTTTGTTTGTTTCAAGGGAAACTGCTAATGTGCTTCTGCAACTCAGTCCATATCCGCCCTGAGATTGGATGGTTGGGAGTTCGATCCCCGGCCGAGTCATACTCTGCTTGGCCCTGCGATAGACTAGCGTCCTGTCCAGGTGGTGTACTTCTACATCAACCTGCCTCACGCTACAGAAACAGGAGATGTACTTACTTTACTTGGTCCATGCGTCTCTTCCTCAATCTAAAGGACAAGTCTGCTATTGAAGTATCCATTGTGGCCTCTAGGATGCTCTGGGTGTATGCCAGTTGCACTGCATTCATGTAAATGCCCACCTCCCCACATGGAAACTGTGCTCTACTAGGCCTACCTGCAGTGGAGGGTAGGTGTGTGAGCCTAGTCAGGCAGGTGAGTGTGAACCAAGTGGAGGCCAGGGAAGCCCCAGCCATCATCAGGATCAGGATGAGCTTCAGCATGCCCCGGATAGAGTCTGCAAACCTGGGGAGAGACAGAGATGGAGGTAGTAAACCTGGAGCACACAGATAGAAACAATCAAAGGATTGATTGAAACAACAACAAAACAACAACTGAAATGCTTACAACATAGCCTAATTTGGTATGCTTCAAAAATGGCTTAAAGGAAAACTACTCAAAAACTATATTTTGGTATTTTCTTCCATTAGTCCACTGTTGATACAGTCCCAAAATGTTTTGCATGTCAGGAGTCAAGTTTTCAAGATTTTGGACTTTCAAGAAGCAATGTGTCACCCGCCACATCATCATGATGATGCAAATCATGGCATGCTTCAAACCACAGCAAAGAGTGTAAACAAGTCTCAGCGTGACTTATGTGCCTCCATGTCACCATCGATTACAGGGAAGCAGTCATGGTGTCAGGAGAATGTAGCCATCCCTGGGTTACAACTGGTGACAGCTTACAGCGATACACCATGATATGAGTTGATATCATTTAGATCACCAGTGACTGTGAAGCAAGCAGGCAGATATTTGATGTGTGCTGCACCCTATGCGTCCAGACAAAGCCTGTTTTAGCGTTCCTCTCTCACCATGTGTTGAATTATCCCTCCTGACAAGTAGGTTTGGGCAATATACCGTTTATACCATATACAGGGGTATTTCAAAATACCAACGGTATGATTTTCAATACCGTAAAAATGTTTTGTTCTTGTAAATAGTTTTGCGAGAGCTGCGGGGGTGCGTGCTACGTCACTGCTTAACTATAAGTTAAGTATAACTAAGAAATCTAAGATGTGTCAAATAAATGATATCCAGCTCAGGGCTCCAGCTATGCATTTGATTTGCTAACTTTCTAGCTAAGTGGCTACATTTACATTTACATTTTAGTCATTTAGCAGACGCTCTTATCCAGAGCGACTTACAGTTAGTGAGTGCATACATTATTATTATTATTTTTTTTCATACTGGCCCCCTGTGGGAATCGAACCCACAACCCTGGCGTTGCAAACACCATGCTCTACCAACTGAGCTACATCCCTGCCGGCCATTCCCTCCCCTACCCTGGACGACGCTGGGCCAATTGTGCGCCGCCCCATGGGTCTCCCGGTCACGGCCGGCTACGACAGAGCCTGGATTCGAACGCAGTGCCTTAGACCACTGCGCCACTCGGGAGAACAAGATGTCAAGATCAAGCTTCTTGGTTACAACAAAGACATTTAATTCCCTCTTGGATCAAGATCCCTGTTGCCAAGTTTTTTTTTATTGTATTTTATTTTTATAGTGTCAATACGTTTTAGAAATAGTGTTAGCCCCTTGTATGCTCTTACTGTATTCCCCGGTATGGTACAGAAACCGTATGACGGTATGAAAATATGGACCCCGCCCAACCCTACTGACAAGGTTTACTCCTGGACTCTGGGTATATTTGCCAGCACAGCGACGCTAACTGTCCGACATCACACATATTGAAGCTCGTAGTGGAAAGACAAGAATTGCCTTTGTTTTGTTGTGCTCAGACAAGATGCTTCAGAAAAATAGTTCAACCCGACAAATAACTATTTGTGAAAAAACACCCGCCGAAAATGTTTAATTTGTCAAACAGTCTCTCAGAGTTCAATAAAACTGTAGCAGGGGAACATAAGGGAAATCTGTTTTGGACAGCCTCACAGCCAACAAAACTATTAAGCTTCAAACCATTTATTTTCAGTGTGTTCATTTTAGATTAGACATTCATAGATGCACTGTCTGTGTGTGGCTACGAATCATATGTCACTCAGACTGTCTGATAGTATGACCCCCATAGTGTTCTGTCTGAGTGAAGAATACATCTAGGATCGACTTTCTATTCATGAACGGACAGAGCAGAGTCTGCCTAACATAGTATTATGTACCTTTTGGAAGTATACACTACAGGGCTGCTGGGCCATGGAAGTAGGTGCTTTGGCATGGACAGGCAAGCACTTCCCAGCCCAGTCTGCTCTCTCTTTCCCCAGTCAAAGCCGTCTGCTCCTACCCATCTGCCACTAGCTCCCCTCAGCTCCAACTCTCCTCTGGCTGTGCCAGAGACTACAGCCCTGCACCTACCCAGCCAACCACTCTCCTCTCTGGGTAGAGGACCACAGCTACAGTGGGGGAAAAAAGTATTTAGTCAGCCACCAATTGTGCAAGTTCTCCCACTTAAAAAGATGAGAGAGGCCTGTAATTTTCATCATAGGTACACGTCAACTATGACAGACAAATTGAGGAGAAAAAAATCCAGAAAATCACATTGTAGGATTTTTTATGAATTTATTTGCAAATTATGGTGGAAAATAAGTATTTGGTCACCTACAAACAAGCAAGATTTCTGGCTCTCACAGACCTGGAACTTCTTCTTTAAGAGGCTCCTCTGTCCTCCACTCGTTACCTGTATTAATGGCACCTGTTTGAACTTGTTATCAGTATAAAAGACACCTGTCCACAACCTCAAACAGTCACACGCCAAACTCCACTATGGCCAAGACCAAAGAGCTGTCAAAGGACACCAGAAACAAAATTGTAGACCTGCACCAGGCTGGGAAGACTGAATCTGCAATAGGTAAGCAGCTTGGTTTGAAGAAATCAACTGTGGGAGCAATTATTAGGAAATGGAAGACATACAAGACCACTGATAATCTCCCTCGATCTGGGGCTCCACGCAAGATCTCACCCCGTGGGGTCAAAATGATCACAAGAACGGTGAGCAAAAATCCCAGAACCACACGGGGGGACCTAGTGAATGACCTGCAGAGAGCTGGGACCAAAGTAACAAAGCCTACCATCAGTAACACACTACGCCGCCAGGGACTCAAATCCTGCAGTGCCAGACGTGTCCCCCTGCTTAAGCCAGTACATGTCCAGGCCCGTCTGAAGTTTGCTAGAGTGCATTTGGATGATCCAGAAGAGGATTGGGAGAATGTCATATGGTCAGATGAAACCAAAATATAACTTTTTGGTAAAAACTCAACTCGTCGTGTTTGGAGGACAAAGAATGCTGAGTTGCATCCAAATAACACCATACCTACTGTGAAGCATGGGGGTGGAAACATCATGCTTTGGGGCTGTTTTTCTGCAAAGGGACCAGGACGACTGATCCGTGTAAAGGAAAGAATGAATGGGGCCATGTATCGTGAGATTTTGAGTGAAAACCTCCTTCCATCAGCAAGGGCATTGAAGATGAAACGTGGCTGGGTCTTTCAGCATGACAATGATCCCAAACACACCGCCCGGGCAACGAAGGAGTGGCTTCGTAAGAAGCATTTCAAGGTCCTGGAGTGGCCTAGCCAGTCTCCAGATCTCAACCCCATAGAAAATCTTTGGAGGGAGTTGAAAGTCCGTGTTGCCCAGCGACAGCCCCAAAACATCACTGCTCTAGAGGAGATCTGCATGGAAGAATGGGCCAAAATACCAGCAACAGTGTGTGAAAACCTTGTGAAGACTTACAGAAAACGTTTGACCTGTGTCATTGCCAACAAAGGGTATATAACAAAGTATTGAGAAACTTTTGTTATTTACCAAATACTTATTTTCCACCATAATTTGCAAATAAATTCATTAAAAATCCTACAATGTGATTTTCTGGATTTTTTTTTCTCATTTTGTCTGTCATAGTTGACATGTACCTATGATGAAAATTACAGGCCTCTCTCATCTTTTTAAGTGGGAGAACTTGCACAATTGGTGGCTGACTAAATACTTTTTTCCCCCACTGTAAGTCCTCTACTCAACCAGCACCAGTATCATATCCTATACTCCACCTCCACCCAGCCAAACCCTTGTCTCACTGGTTAGAGGAGCACAGGTAATGGTCCCCTACACCAGTGGTTCCGAAACCTCTCCTCGGGGACCCGCAGCCATTCCATGTATTTGATCTATTCCAGAGCTAGCACACCTGATTCAACTTGTCAACCATCATCAAGCCCTTGAATAGGTAAGCCAGGTGAGTTAGTTCAGGGCTACAACAACATTGTGAAATGTCTGGGGTCCCCGAGGAGAAGTTTGAGAACGACTACCCTACACCACCACCACCACCAGTATCATAATTATTATCACCCCTCTCACATCTAATTTGTTTACTGAAACCTGCAATAAATGCAGCATGCCTCTAAGTAGCATATTTCAAGACTCCTTTATGCCCTACAATGTCAGCTGACAAGACTGGAGCATACTGTAGGCCTAGCTTGTTGTGAGGTAATGTCTAAATTAAAAGCACATCAATAACAGTTGTGTCAGATTTATTGTCTAGAAGATAGTGACGCTTAACTCTTCTCTGGCATCAGATTTCATTTTGCGCATTCTCCTCTGGCTAACTGCAGGATTAATTCAATTCTGATTCCATTTGATATTATCACTACTGGGTCTATTTGTCTCCATTCTGTACCAAGACAAGGGCATGTACTGAATGAACAAACCGGTCTGATAGATGGCTGTAATGATATTACTGAGAAACAACGGCCATCCCTGTCAAAACAAATTCAGTTATTTCCATTTCTCATTTTAAATTTATTGTTTATCTCTCATTTATCTAAAGATAAATACCTGATCATCTCTCAGGTCTCTAGTGGCAGTTAGTGTGGTTAAAAACTCTTCCATCTTTCTCTCTAACTCCCTCCCCCTCTCTCTCTCTCCCTCCCTCCCCCCTCGCTCACCCTCCCTCTCCGTCCTTCCCTTCCCCCCAACCTCTCCTCAGGTTGATAATGGGACTTGGCTTATAATGGTGGGGATAATGGTTGATGAAGGATAATGGGAGGTGGTTATTATTATTATTAATTTCCACCAGCTCTGTTCTGTTCCAGGTCTGGTCTTAAAGCAGCAGTTTCACCCTGACCACAAGCTGCTGGCCGACAAATAAATATTTGTCAAACGTGTCTCTGACACACACACACACACACACCTCTGAGCACCCATCGCCAAATGCCCCAACAGTGACAAATACTGCCATCCATCTAGTAGTGGGCGCATCTCGGGGAGAAAAAATATTAGGGAGCATGTTTGTGTGTGTTGCGGAGTGAGTGTTTGTTTGGCTATCACAAAGCCTTCCCGGGAAGCAAACCACTTAGTATTTGCAACCATAACACCTGCAGCAAAACATTTTAATGGGGCTATTTTTCTGCTGCCATGGCAAGCTGCTCTCTGATGTTTGTGTGGCGTAAGGTGAGACAGGGGTGTGTAATAACTCAGGTTCAGGCACGGGAGGGTGTGTGTGTGCGCTCTGTACTGTAACTCAGCAGCTCCATCAACACTAAACCGCCAGGCAAATTATCATTAATGGTGCCACAAAGGACCCAGTACTATAGAGAGGTAAACATCTGCTACTGCGCTTCCCAAACACAACACACACATCACCAATCACAGCAAAACCCAAACAAACACACACACGGAACGCAACCCCACCCGAAGCACCGCTCTGCTCAGATCAGCTCCCCAAGCTAACCGCCAACAGACACCCAATTAAGTCAGACGTGAGAAGGAAGCCAATCAACTGGGGGACTGACACTCTTTAATGAGTTAGTTTCTGTTTCTCTGCCATGACATCAACATCTACTGAGGTTACAAACATAAGCAAACCTTACCCACCCATATTAACTCTGGATCTATACTTAACTTAACAAACAAACACACACAATAGTTTGTTTGTCAGCCTAGATGCCTCCAGTCCACTCCAGCATATACCAAGAACAGAACAGTTCCATGAATCAAGGCTAGAGTTATGGACTAGTTTTCCTAATTACAGCATTGTGAGACTTTGGCCCTGCCTGGAAGTGCTGATTGGGCCGGGCGATTAACATATATATGTCAGCTGGACGACGGATCCCTTCCTTTTGCAGAGTACACAGTTTGGGGCCTACGGTGCGTCAGTCTATACATCAGCTAGAGACACATGGCCCATTGCATTAGCATTCACTTACTCACCTCAGTCTATCACAACAACCATGGATTTAATACACTAAGAGAGATGGAGTGGATGAGGTGAGCTAAGGGGTTTGAGATGGCGGGTACATCCCAAATTGCACCCTTTTCACTAAGTAGTGGACAACTTTTGACCAGAGCTCATAGACATTTAGGACACAGCCTGAGACTCCTACCCCCTCCAATATCACTAAACACAGTAATGTTTCAAGAAAGTGAGAGAACCAGACTGGAATGCAGCACAAGCAGACAGAGAGTAATAGACCCATTTATTCCTGTGAACATGCTTAGCAATGGGTTTCTAGTTGCTAATCTTGTTGACAGGCCTTGGAGGCAGAGCCAAAGCTATTACGACCAAACATGGGCCGTATATTTTCATGCATACTTAATCTGAAGATACTAAGTGAGTGTATGGCGTTCACGATAAATGCTTACCCTCTAATTTGACCGCTCACCTGGTCCAAGAAGATGGTTTAGGGCTGAAATTATGAGACAGGCCTCACACATCGCTGGACACAGCTAGCTGTTGGTATTCAGGCTCAGTCCAAGCCCAACTTCAGACTGTACTGGGCCTACTCCAGACAACCTCTAACTAGGGGCTGGATTCACAGTTGAGATAAGCACACTCAACCCAGACGTTCACATAATTAATTCAGTGATGTCAATAGGAGAAAATCTGAGTTAAGCCCACATATCTTAAGTCAGAAAACTGTCCTGGGCCTTTTAGGACATAAAATATCTGGCACCCCATCAGGGGTTATTACATTTACATTTTAGTCATTTAGCAAATGCTCTTATCCAGAGCGACTTACAGTTAGTGAGTGCATACATTTTTCATACTGGCCCCCCGTGGGAATCGAACCCACAACCCTGGCGTTGCAAGCGCCATGCTCTACCAACTGAGCTACACGGGACCTGTGGGCACATTCAGGTCAAGTCACGCTACAATGCTAAACCACATGGAAATGACTTGCTGTTGCTGTTGCTTACCTGGCCATGGCCACTCCAAACACACAGCCGCCCATGATGGACCAGAACCCGATCCAGCCAGCATCCACCTTGAGAGGGAGAGACAGACAGAGAGAGAGAGATAAATAAAAGGCGATCGAGAGAGAATGAGGGTATTGACAGAGAACGAGAGAGCAAGGAAGAGAGCGTGGAAGTGAGAGCGAGAGACAGAAAGAGAGGAGCATTATTCCATGTTCAGCATGCCATACACGGCTCAGGGGGCCGAGGCTAGACAGAGAGTAGGCAGTGTCTGAAGACTGGGGAAACCTGTCAATCAAGCCCAGGGTAAATTGCAACCCTGTATTCTGACAGTGGTGGGAGTCAATGGAAACGGCTGGTGGTGTCAATGTGATGATTAATCACAGACAAACGCCTGCTCTGACAGATGGAGACGGAGAAGAGAAGACAGACATTATGACCACGGTCGTGTTCAGCAGGGAGAAAACAGAGTAAGACAGGGAGACTACCACCACTTGCCCAATAGGAAGAGAGATGTTAGATTTGTGTTGCAAAAGGTTTTGCTACAGTGTTCCCTAGTGAACTAGAACCAGTGTGGCGCAGTCCCGAGTGGCGCAGTGGTCTAAGGCACTGCATCGCAGTGCTAGCTGTGCCACTAGAGGTCCTGGTTCGAATCCAGGCTCTGTCGTAGCTGGCCGCGACTGGGAGACCCATGGGGCGGCGCACAATTGGCCCAGCGTCGTCCAGGGTAGGGGAGGGAATGGCCGGCAGGGATGTAGCTCAGTTGGTAGAGCATGGCGCTTGCAACGCCAGGGTTGTGGGTTTGTATGCACTCACTAACTGTAAGTCGCTCTGGATAAGAGCGTCTGCTAAATCACAAAAATAAATAAATAAATAAATAAATAAAACCAGGGTCTACTGCTGCAGCATCAACATGAGAGCCTGACTGCATCACAGACGGAGTGTCATCCACACACACACACACACACACCTCTCTGGGGAAGCAGGCAGCAGGTAAATAAAGTAGGCTCTAAATCAGCATCTGACACCCAGGTGAAGACGACTGAGTGCGGTTCACATCAATCTACCTTACGCTATAACTCCGGTAGAAAAAAAGAAGAGCCACGTTGAGAGAGGCCAGATGTGAGTATAAACAAGACAAGACCAGAATGTAAATAAAGCATCATGCACAGAAGAGATCTGTGGTCTAGAGGCCATTTCTGAAACTTTCTTGAAAAGGTACACAGGTTCTTAATTTCATGTTGATGTTCATATCAACTTGTGAAGCTGAATGCAAATCGTTCTGCATGCTATTTGAGTGTCAGGGAAAAGATCATAGCATTTATTGTGTGTGTGTGTGGTTAATTAACTGCAATATGCTCAGTGCTAGCTGCAGCCGTACAGGCCTGATTTGTCCATGCTCAGCTTAATAATCATGCACGTTGTTACTACTGTGTCAATAACCAGGAAATGGTTTCCGTGCTGACGTTACGTATGGTGTGGAAGCCAGGGCTTCAGGCTGCTGGCACATTCATTTATTTGCTTTTCTTTAATTTCTCTTGTTTCTGAGCCTTTTAAGCCAGTAGTCATAGCACTTACCCGTGGGTGTAGCATGACATGATGGCATTGCCATGCTAATTCATTCAGCGGTAACCACAGATAGCATCAAAAGACACCATGGAAGTTAGTTGGTACACTGTCTGCCTGCCTGTCTGTCTGTCTGGAGGCATAACCAACCACCACCACAAAGCATTTAAGAGTAGGAGTGCTAATCTAGGATCAGGTTTCCTCTCTTATACATTATTATTTAAAAGTGAAAATCAAGCCTAGCTTAGCACTCCTACTCTGTGATGCACAAAGGTTACAGTACACCGTCTGTCTGGAGGCAGCAGAATTAACCACCACAGCTAGATATAACTCTAGATCAGGAAAAGTACCAGGAGTTCACAACAGTGACTTTCTCAGTGCAGAAAGCCTCTCTGTAATCAGAAAGCTGAAGCCGCTGCTGTGCTTTCAGGTGAAGTAACATCTTTCCTTGGGTTTTTTCTGCATAGCGACTTAATGGCCACTCTCCATTAACGGAGCAATTACATATGAGTGATTAACGCAGTGTGGGACCTTGTTCTTAAAACGATGCTAATTACGTACAGCGACACAGAGCTATGTGCCTCAGGACACAGTCTTGTCTAGCACTGGGCTGGGTGTCTGGACGGAGGGAGGGCTCCTGCAGAGTTCAGACAATAGTCCACCCATCTCCAAGCTTATCTCAGCCTCAGCCTCATCTCCTCCACCCATCCACATTCACGACCCAAGCTCCAGCCCCTTCAACCATCCCATCCCCATTCAAAGCCCCATTCCCATCCCCTCCACCTGTTCCCAGCCCTAGCATACTACTCTCTCATGACAGATCACCAGCTGCTGCCCCATACTTGTCTCTGCAAAATTGTATTATTTAAAGGATCAATTCCCTGACCTCCGTGTGGAGAGGAGACACCGGTTGTGTCCCAAATAGCACCCTATTCCGTACATAGTGCACTACTTTTTTTTTACCAGAGGCCTATGGTCCCTGGTTATAAGTAGTGCACTATGTAGGGAATAGGGTGCCATTTGGGATGCACACACCGTGTGGAGAGGGACGCTATGGGACGTCACAGTATGCATTCTGTCAGCAGGAAGAAAGGGTCACCTTAGAGACACTGCAAATGGCCACTACTCATCAGCTAGGGAGCGTGGAGGTTGACACTGTTATTGCCACTGGTGGGTGAACCACCTTAGGTAGAAGAGCTACAAAACAAAATGAACAGAAACAATCTCAGAAGGCTGGCAGGAAGGTGGGGACGGTGGAGGTGGGGGTTTGTGTGTTCTGGGAAAGACAGGATGACGCAGAGGTGAAAAACAATGTGGTCACCTTCACAGAAATGTATTTAGAAAAACAAAAAATGCTGACTGCTTTGTCTGCACACACACACACACACACACACACACACACACACACACACACACACACACACACACACACACCACCCCTCCCCTGTGGGTGGATGTGCTACATGGTGGCAGACTGAAACCAGTGTTTGACATCTACAGAACAGAGCCTGTTAATGGGAACGTAGAGAACAGCACAGCCCCTGCAATGGCTGGAGTGACACGGCAACAGTAAGATTGGCAAGTGGCATTTGAGTGGAGAAGTGGAGCGCAGCTGGGAGGTGATTGGAAGGCAGCAAAGGGGGACGAGGGCCCGGGCTAAAGCAGCGCCTCTGTATTGATCGCCTCGCTGCAGAGAGAGAGAGAGAGAGAGAGCTCTGTCTGTGATGACAGTGGGACCACACAGTGTGTAGAGGAGACTGGCGATTACAGCATTCATAGGAGGGAGAGAGAGTGTGTGTGTGTGTATCACATCACCCACTTTGTCAGCACTGTTTTCCTCTGGATCCCTGCCCTAAATAGGTTTAGTATGTGTGTCAGACAGTCACCTATAAAGCTATCATTTCACACCTCATATCTACCCTCATTGTATTCCTCAATGGATGTTGCTGCTGATAGCGTCTTATCAGAATATGGTCATGGTTTGTTGGTGCCAAGGCACCTTTCAGGCTGTATGGGATCGAAAGTTAGGTAGGCTAATGTGTTTTACAGTAGTAGTGTGTGGTTTTGCAATGTGAAACTCTGAAATCAAGAGCAAACATAACACATACTGAAAGTCAAACTTACACTCCTTACATTGTGAGGAGTGAATGCTGCCATAGTGATGTATTGTAACAACTCTGTTTCTAAGTTTTGAGCCTGGGGAAAACTCTGTACAGAGTTTAGCTAAGGCAACATATTTGTGACACCATCTTTAGACAGCCAGATAAAGGCAACTTGGAGGAGAAAAGTTCCTTAACATTTCCTTTTGACGACAAAATAAACCGTAAGACATAAAGACTATAAAGAATTGATGATACTCCCTGTGGGTTCTGACAGAAAGGAAAGATAGTGACTGCGTGTGTGTGAACCCACAGCTCAGTGATTTCTTCTCAAATACCTGTCTGATGATAACCTTGAAAAGAAGCCTCTTTTGTCTCCTTTGAGCCACTACTATCGTGCTAAAAGTAGAGGGTGCTCTGCTCTGTGTCCCAACATCTCTCCTCTCGTTCTCTCTCATCCTGGATCTCTGATGCTAATCCAGGACCGTTGAAGGGTCTGAGACGATGCCGGTCTAATTAAGCTAAGAATCTCAAGTTTTAAGTGCCTCGCTTTCTTGACATGCTCCACATTTTCCCGTATGCAAATAATGTGCTGTGGATTCCACACGTTTGATTAGACCCTTAAAAAGTTAGCTACACTTAGAGAAGTAGATGGACCGATAGGAGAGAGAAGAGGATGGACCAACCAACCAAACAAGACTGTGTGGAATGGAGGAGTTTCAAAATCGTGTAATTAGGCCTTTTTTGAGGGTGGGTTTTGAAGTTCAAAGTGGTATTCACAAGGGCCTGCTGCTTTTTAATGAGTCCAGGATGGGAAAGTAAAAAATAATTTGTGAAGAAGATATGAGTTGCCATGCTGGGCTTGAAGTTATGTCAATACTGTATGGCATTGGCCACTTGGGTTAATTATGAGTCAACATCCATTTCTGTCTGGGAAATTACATTGTCTAATTCCCAAATGGCACCCTACTCCCTAGATAGTGCACTACTTTTGACCAGGGCCCATAGTGCACTATGTAGGGAATATGGTGGCATGTACACTTTCATTTCAGCAAGGGAAATTACACTCTGTGTGCTAGCCTCCGACAAAATGAGCCACATCACAGGCCCTCTTAGAATGATGGTTTTCAGGAAGGCTAGCCGGCCCGTTTCAGTGCTTCAGTAGGTGAGCACCAACACAGAGTTTTTCATTGTGTGTTGTACCAGCGCAGATCATTTGGGGGAAATTGGCAGCAGATGTTGTAAATACACTGTTGTAATAAGTGCCCTTTGAAATGATCAGTTTGAACATGTCTAAATTGTATTCCAGAACTGCTATTACTGTACTACCATTCAGAGTGAATAAAGTGAGTAATGCTAGGATAAATGGGAAAAGACTCCTCAACTTTGCAGACAATCTGTATCTTTGGTTTGTTCTAAACTCAGCAGACATGTTGTGGGTTTTGGGTCAGGTGTGTGTTCCTTACCTGGCTGACTCTAGCAGGGGTGAGGATCATGTCCAGAACTCCTGACCAGCCTGCCACCACCCCTGTAGGCACCGCATAGGCCAATGCTATCATCAGGAACCGGAAGTTACTGGAGGGAAAGAGAGAGAATCAAAGGCTTTTTAGCAGCAAGTCCTACAGTATCCCTACCTAGCAAAGTCCTACAGTATCCCTACCTAGCAAAGTCCTACAGTATCCCCACCTAGCAAAGTCCTACAGTATCCCGACCTAGCAAAGTCCTACAGTATCCCCACCTAGCAAAGTCCTACAGTATCCCCACCTAGCAAAGTCCTACAGTATCCCCACCTAGCAAATTCCTACAGTATCCCCACCTAGCAAAGTCCTACAGTATCCCTACCTAGCAAAGTCCTACAGTATCCCCACCTAGCAAAGTCCTACAGTATCCCCACCTAGCAAAGTCCTACAGTATCCCCACCTAGCAAAGTCCTACAGTATCCCCACCTAGCAAAGTCCTACAGTATCCCTACCTAGCAAAGTCCTACAGTATCCCCACCTAGCAAAGTCCTACAGTATCCCCACCTAGCAAAGTCCTACAGTACCCCACCTAGCAAAGTCCTACAGTATCCCCACCTAGCAAAGTCCTACAGTATCCCAACCTAGCAAAGTCCTACAGTATCCCTACCTAGCAAACGTCCTTCTCTCTGGTTGACAGTGTCTGGAGACCTGCCACCAGACAGCTTCTTGCTTTCCTATCCTGTCAGCTCACACCACATCTCTTACTGTCAGGGAGGATCGATCCCACCTCACAGTGTGGTGACAGAGAGATAAACACCTGGTCAGGAACCAGGAAGAGAAGAGCTGCCTGGCAGGCTGGCAGTGCTAGGCCGGAGGTGACACCATGATGAGGATTGAATACAGGGGAGAACAACAGCTATGAAATGGGATTGAGATGAAGAACCAGGATCCTTTGATGAGGGGACACCAACCACACACAGACACACTAAACTGATGAATGAGCCGAGACTCAGAACAATAGGATAAACTGATCTACTTAATCATTTATTTATTTATTTATATTAATGGGTTTGGCAATAGTAGCATGTCAACAAACAAAGTAATGTATTTCCCACATCTGAGATGATGATCCAAGACAATGATTTCCTCTGATTGTTCTGTGAATCAAAGATCCCTGGAAGGAAGGTCATTCCAAAGTCAGAAACTATTTAGCTCCATCTAATGCCACATCTAACGTCCCCCACAGCCATACTTTCCCAGACCAGATAGTGGCATTATCGCTTTCAAGTAGATTAAGCCAATTCCATTTAAATCAATTCCCCAGCCCTGATTCCTCTCTGTGAGTCTACAAACAACACATTTACCACCTGCTATAAACAGTGTGTTGATGGTTGTGAGAACGTTCTAGGTTTATGCTCTGCCATTGAGACATTATGAGAGTGTATCAGTTAGAACCAAGGCATCGTTCAAACAAGGGAACTAAGTGAGATACCCACAATATGGAAACAGAACCTAATATTGTGTGGTCTCTGCCCAACTAACAGTCTAAAATGAGAGACTGAGAGATTAGGGGTAAATCTAATATAAATTGTTGTGAAGAGTTGTCATATCAATGTGACTTTGGCCAGGTCTGTCAGTCTTTGTAAACACTGACAAATCACTAAGAGGTGGGTTATTCTCAAGCATGAATTTTACAAGATGCTAATCACAATCATGACCACGATGCTGGTTGTTTGTCCATCAAAACAGGCCATGGTTAGTAGCCAGGAAAATGTCCCACCTGAGGAGTGTGCAAGTGTGCACTTCAGGTGCAGCTTTGGGAGAATACTAAGTATCATATGACAGGCCCTGGGTGGGTGCTCCATGAATCTGTATCTCTGTGGAGGTTCTCTTCAAGGAGAATAAAACTGCAACATTGCTGTCTAAAGTGCCAGAGGAATACATTGACGTTATATAATGCTATGCAGCAATTTGGGACAAGTTTCCTCCTCAACTTAGTTTGAAACAAAACAATAGACTTTCAAGTCTGAGTCTGTCTATGTAGCTGTGAACTAGATTTTCCTCAGAGTTGCTTTTGATCCCCCCTCCCTCCCTGAGGATGATGAACGTGTTAAGCATTCGCCAGATGTCCCTCCGAGATACATTCAGGACGCCGCCGGCATATCAATGGATGTCATGAACAAACAAATGCATGAGTAAACGCCAGCCGTCCATCCTGAAGGGAAGCTAGGAAAACAAAAACAGTCCTGAGAGATAGAGAGATAGAGAGAGAGAGAGAGAGGATAGAGAGAGAGAGAGAGGATAGAGAGAGAGAGAGAGAGGATAGAGAGAGAGAGAGGATAGAGAGAGAGAGAGAGAGGATAGAGAGAGAGAGAGAGGATAGAGAGAGAGAGAGAGAGAGAGAGAGAGGATAGAGAGGATAGAGAGAGAGGATAGAGAGAGGAGAGAGAGAGAGAGAGAGAGAGAGAGAGAGAAAGAGAAAGAGAAGAGAAGAGGAGAGGAGAGAAGAGCTTTCCCCTTCTATGACGGCTGCTGTCACTGTCAGACCAGACGCCTGGAGATTTAATGCTGCTGTTAGAGAGGGGTGAAGTGATGGTCCTCAAATTAAATAAGCGACATGGCAGGGACAGGGTTTGGGGCGGAGGCGGCAGTGATGAGAACAAGGTGTTATGGATGATTGTAATTGGGCAGAGGGTGATTGGATGGGTGCCAGACAGACAGTGTCAGCGACTAGTTGAGACGGAGGGCTGGGGGGGGGGGGCGGAGGGGCTCCTCTGTTAGGGGGAGACTTCTCTCGGTGATACACACACAGACACACACACACTCCTGGCTGCACTGGCCTGATGATTGGCGAGACACTCGTATAAATTCTAATAAAGCATGATGGGCTGGCACCACTCTTCCTTCTCTCAGCTGATTACCTCTTAGTCTGTGCTGAGATTAAACTGGGATAAACAACCTCTAAGGAGACAGACAGACAGACAGACAGACAGACAGACAGGAAAGCAGACTAGGGGATGTATGTATTAACTGTAGGAGTTCTGAGGATCAGGTCGCCCCTGTCCATTCATTATAATCAATGAGGCAAAACTGATAATAGATCGGCACTCCTACTCCTATCCACTGTAAGAGTGTGTACCCCAGTACCTGTGGTACTTGGCCTTGGAGGAGTCTAGACTCCAGGGAGCGAGAGCGAGAGAGAGAGCGAGAGAGAGAGCGAGAGAGAGAGTTATAGACTCATAAAAGTGACTCACCCTCTTTCTCTCTCTCTCCAGCTACCAGCTACTACTGTTTCATTAACCTTGCTGTGATGGCGGCCGGCGGGAAATCAATATGCTTACACCTTTTTCCGGCCCACAGCTTATTTAGATCACCGTATAGTAAGGATTTGTCCAAAATGGCACCCTATTCCCTATGTAGTACACTATAGCCCATAGGGCCTGGTCAAAAGTAGTGCACTATATAGGGAATATGGTGCTATTTGGGACTTGCCCTAAGTAAGCACAGCACAGGGCCACCCGGCGGAGGATGAAATATTTCGGGGAGCCACAAAGCCAGCGGCATCATCAGCTAAGTGCCATTTGTCCTTGGCAGGTCTTGGCTGGAGTTCAATGCATCAGAATGAGCAGGACAGAACCTTCCTAGGCAAAATTACTCTTATAAGTCATTCAGACAGTCGTGCCAGTTCCTTTCCATCACCTTCAAAATCAACCAACTTCAAGTCTGTCTGTTTGTATTTCAATTAAAAACGAATCTACTCCCTGTTTCTTTTCAAATCGCTATTCACATTTAATACTCAGGTCCACCACTACTCCACAAGAACTACACCGATCTCCACAACCTTTTCCCCGTACAAGACTAGGCCAATTTTCCATCTCCTACAGAGGTCAGTTTTTTGGAACAGTTTCCCAGAACACCTCAAGCACTGCAACACCTTCAACTCCTTCAAATTCAAAACAAAAAATGATCTACTGGACATTCCACTGACGCCTCATCCCAATAACTTCTCTGCCTATTAGCCTTTTATTTTGATTGTGCACTGTACTTTAATTAGATATTTTCTTCTTTATCCGCTTATTCACCATCTGTTTTGCTACTTATTTTTGTATGGTTTTGTTTTATAAACATTGAAAGGGGGAGGCGCCTACAAGCCCCTCTGGGTTTCTTACCTCTCCTGCACATATTCTTTAAGTTTACCTTTTAAACCTTCATCATATTGTTTTGTATTTTCTTGTGTAAATAACTCATTTAAAAAATAATGATAGTGGGACCTTCATCGATACTAATGCTGCTAGCTAACATCATTACTATTCCCAGAGCAGTGGTCAGGTTGTACTGATAACCTTTCTACATGTGTGGAGAGCTGCGCTGCGTACCAAATGACGAAGGTTGGCATTTATTGTCATGACTCATGTATTAGAGGCAGCTCTGCAGAGTGGTCACTAGTTGCCACAAAGTCATAACATCTGATTTTAAACCTAACCCTAACCCTAACCTTAACCACACTGCTAACCCTAATGCCTAACCCTAACCCTAACCACACTGCTAACCCTAATGCCTAACCTTAACCCCACTGCTAACCCTAACCCTAACCACACTGCTAACCCTAACCCTAACCACACTGCTAACCATAATGCCTAACCCTAACCCCACTGCTAACCCTAACCTTAACCACACTGCTAACCCTAATGCCTAACCCTAACCACACTGCTAACCCTAATGCCTAACCCTAACCCTAACCACACTGCTAACCCTAATGCCTAACCCTAACCCCACTGCTAACCCTAACCACACTGCTAACCCTAATGCCTAACCCTAACCACACTGCTAACCCTAATGCCTAACCCTAACCACACTGCTAACCCTAACCACACTGCTAACCCTAATGCCTAACCCTAACCCTACTGCTAACCCTAATGCCTAACCCTAACCCCACTGCTAACCCTAATGCCTAACCCTAACCACACTGCTAACCCTAATGCCTAACCCTAACCACACTGCTAACCCTAATGCCTAACCCTAACCACACTAACCCTAATGCCTAACCCTAACCCTAACCACACTGCTAACCCTAATGCCTAACCCTAACCCTAACCACACTGCTAACCCTAATGCCTAACCCTAACCACACTGCTAACCCTAATGCCTAACCCTAACCACACTGCTAACCCTAATGACTAACCCTAACCACACTGCTAACCCTAATGCCTAACCCTAACGCCTAACCCTAACCCTAATGCCTAACCCTAACCACACTGCTAACCCTAATGCCTAACCCTAACCACACTGCTAACCCTAATGCCTAACCCTAACCTTAACCACACTGCTATCCCTAATGCCTAACCCTAAACCTAACCACACTGCTATCCCTAATGCCTAACTCTCCCCTTAAATGAAGACCAAAAAGCTCATTTTTGTTTTCATGAATTTTTACAATATAACCAATTTAGATTTTGCAGCTGGCTTATCTAGCAGAAATCGCTCAGTTCTGCCTCCAGGGCAAGATTCATGACAAATCAAAAGAGAACCATTGCGCTCTCCCAGAAGCTTGGCAGGTGCGTAAATCCCAAGACTCATGACAATAAACGTCAACCTGTCCAAACGGCACTGTGTTCCCTATGTAGTGTATTACTTTTGACCAGAGGTCTAGCATGGGGCGGCGCACAATTGGCCCAGTGTCGTCCAGGGTGTGGGGGAGAATGGCCGGCAGGGATGTAGCTCAGTTGGTAGAGCATGGCATTTGTAACGCCAGGGTTGTGGGTTCAATTCCCACGGGGGGCCAGTGTGAAAAAAAAAAAAAAAATGTATGCACTCACTAACTGTAAGTCGCTCTGGATAAGAGCGTCTGCTAAATGACTAAAATGTAAATGTAAAATGTAGCATCAGTTGTCAGAGCACCTTACCGATCACTGCACCTGTACACAGCCCATCTGAAATTAGCCCACCCAACTACCTCATCCCTATATTGTTATTTATTTTGCTCTTTTGCACCCCAGTATCTCTATTTGCACATAATCTCTTGCACATCTAGCATTCCAGTGTTAATACTAATTGTAATTATTTTGCACTATAGCCTATTTATTGCCTTACCTCCATAACTTGCTACATTTGCACACACTGTATATATATTTTCTGTTGTATTTTTTGACTTTATGTTTTTTTTACCCCATATGTAACTCTGTTGTTGTTTTTAATCGCACTGCTTTGCTTTATCTTGGCCAGGTCGCAGTTGTAAATGAGAACTTGTTCTCAACTGGCTTACCTGGTTAAATAAAGGTGAAATAAAAAATAAATAAAATAAATTTAGACCCTGGTCAAAAGTAGTGCACTATAAAGGGAATAAGGTGCCATTTGGAACACAACACTACTCTGTGTTGTGATGAGGCTCTGCATCAGACCTGAACAGATAGGGTAACTTATCAAGCTCCAGATCATTTACTATGGTTCAAACTCTCTCAACAATAGCAGTGGAAGAAAGGGCAAAAGTGGTGGCTTAGGATATGGCTCAAGACCTATCTAACTCTGGGAAACACTGGCACAACAACAGACCTAACTTTAGAAAACAGAATTTTGCTGCTAACCCAAGTCTATCTTTCTTTGAAGAGTGGAACTTACACACATAAGGCCCACCTACAATCCTTCTGCAGAATCCTCAGCCAGACAGCTACTGATGCTGCTTGAGTGTGATATAGTTCAGACTGGCCACTGGAAGGCTGCCTATCAGTGGGACTCCAGATGTGTGCGTGTATGCATGCGTGCGTCAGACAGTATGGACATTGGGTTTATGTCAGCTTGACTGGTATTATCCCTCTCTTGAAGCTGTGTGCTTTGCAGGGAGTTTGTTATTGTTTATCAGAGAGAGTCAGTGAGAACTAGGGAGAGAGAAAGAGAGAGAGGGAGCAAGTGAGAGAGAGAGAGAGAAAGAATGAGAGAAAGAATGAGAGAGAGAGAGAGAAAGAGAGAGAGAAAGAAAGAGAGAGAGAGAGCTCGGTCTGGCTCGAGGGGCTGACTGTAGGGAGTTCAACCCGCCTGTTCACTGGCTGTCTGTCCACAGCCCAGCGCTTGATCCCCGGCCCACAGCCCTCAGCCCTTGGCCCATTCCACCACAACCAGACAGGATATGCACCGCGGGCACGGAATCCGTGGATGAACCGCAATGAACACTCTAGCTCCCATCCACAAACAGCACCATTGCCCCCAACGGTCAGTTTTTGTGTGCCTGCGTCCGTGCGTGTCGATGCAATGCATTGCTTGGAGGACAGTGCATTCTGAATGCAGGCTGTATGAGCATGTTACATGACCATGGACTCCAGAGAACCCAGGCTGTATGAGCATGTTACATGACCATGGACTCCAGAGAACCCTGGCTATGTGTGGATGAGGAGAAGAGGATGATTATCTATTTATTAAGCAGGGCCAGGGAAATGCCAGTGCCATCTTATGGCTGTGTAATTAATCTAGGGGGAGAGAGGATATGTCTTTGATGCACATTAACTAGCAGCCCCAACAGACGGTGAGTGGCAGAGCAACAAGACCCTTTCATTAAGTTTCTCTATCCCCACTACTCAAACAGACCCATTCATTCCCTCCTCATCTCAAAGTAAAAAAAAAAGGCATGTTGAGAGGCAACAGAGAGGACACCCCAGGCCCTTTCGTGACTGTTGTGATAAAGGCCTAATCATTTTAAGGTCTAATCAAAAATGACCACTTAAAGTGTGTGATGATGGCAAAGGACCAGACAGTACATACCTGAGTAGTTTGCAGATGCTGTTCCTGTAGCTGAGTCTCTGGCTGGCAGCAGCCACACTGGGAGGCATGGGGGGTCGGGAGGGGAAGTAGAGCACCACCGCAGCAAACAGCACCGCCACCACACCAAACTCTATATGTCAGGAGGGACACAGAGACACAGGAAAAGACAGAAAAGACAGATCAGTAGCTTATTAACACAGTCAAATAGAAGGATTATTATTAGTTTACAACCTACCTGAACTCAGTCAATGTATCACTAACAAAACCATTCCACCCAGAGTCACATGTTTCTGATTCCACCCTACTTTGAGAGGGTGTTACATAGTTTAATGGCTGTGATAGGAGAAAACTGAGGATGGATCAACAACATTGTAGTTACTCCACAATACTAACCTAAATGACAGAGTGAAAATAAGGAAGCCTGTACAGAATAAAAACATACCAAAATATGCATCCTGTTGGCAATAAGGCACTAAAGTAAAACTGTGTGTTATGCTTGGGGCAAATCCAACACAACACATTACGGAGTACCACTCTCCATATTTTCAAGCATAGTGGTGGCTGCATCATGTTATGTGTATGCTTGTAATCATTAAGGACTGGGGAGTTTTCAGTATAAAAAAGAAACGGAATGGAGCTAAGCACAGGCAAATTCCTAGAGGAAAACCTTGTTCAGTCTGCTTTCCACCACTGGGAAACAAACTGACCTTTCAGCAGGATAATAACACAAGGCCAAATCTACACTTGAGTTGCTTACCAAGAAGATAGTGAATGTTCCTGAGTGGCCGAGTTACAGTTTTGACTTAAATGTACTTGAAAATCTATGGCAATACTTGAAAATGGTTGTCTAGCAATGATCAACAACCAATTTGACAGAGCTTGAAGAATTTTGAAAATAATAATGGGCAAATGTTGCACAATCCAGGTGTGGAAAGCTCTTACAGACTTACCCAGAAAGACACACAGCTGTAATCGCTGCTAAAAGGTGCTTCTACAAAGTATTGACTCAGGGGTGTGAATACTTATGTAAAAGTAATATTTCAGTATCTTATTTTCAATAAATTTGCAAACATTTCTAAAAACATGTTTTCACTTTGTCATTATGGGGTATTGTGTGTAGATATTCGGGGGAAAAATATATTGAATCCATTTTGAATTCAGGCTGTAACAACAAAATGTGGAATAAGACAAGGAGTATGAATTCTTCCTGAAGGCACTGTAGAGTTCCACGCCTGCTCTGTTGCAGATGCCCAGATTAGTCAATTAAGAGCCCAGCGGCTTATCAGAGAGCTGGGCCTAGGACTACATCAATCAGCTGGCACAGAGATCTCTGATACTCTCTCTGTCAGCGTGCCCTAACAGCCCTTCCTTCCAAACAAGCTACTAAATCCCCCAACCCCTTTCACTGGGCTTGGCCTGGCCTGGCATGGCTTGGCATAGGCAACAGAACAGGACCCATTTCTCTTTGAAAAGCCACAGCATTTTTGGTCTGTCCTTTTCCCAAAAAGTACCACCAGAATCATAAATCGTGCTTTTTCCTATCATAATGTGAAGTTTGATTGGACAGTAGCTGCATTTTTACTCTCTGGCTGGCGCAGCACAGGGTGCATGCCAGCTCACATAGATTTTTCAAACCAAAACAACTGTTGATTGCTGCTGTTCTGTAGTGAAGGTGTGACTGTGGAAGTGTATAATTTATTTTCCTCAGAAGAGCAGGAGGAAAACATCAATGAATTTAATTCCATCTAAATGCTTAATGACCTCTAAAGCTCTCAGTTCAGAAAATGTGTCTGTTTTGTCCTTTGAAATGTAATACTAATAGTTAACACAAATCTACTATTGTTGTGGATAATGTTTTTTTTTTCTTCTGATTTTCTGAATCCGTTAAGCAGAACATTGTTGAGACGTTTGAGTCTGATATTTTAGTGATGAGACAGAGACAGTCAGATCACCTTCAGCTGATTGTATTTCTCTCCCTAGACTAAGGGCAGACATGATCCAGAGATGATCTGCTATTGATTCCTGTGGTGCTGTCAGTACCTACCTGCATACATAACATGAGAAGATATTCAGCAACTCTTGGTAGGACAATTGTGCTATAGAGTTGCTGAATATCTTCTCATCTTCAGTATGCTCCAGTATTTCAAAGTGAGGTAGCGACAGCATTTATTTTTCTCAGTACCTGCTTGCATACATAACCATTTGGATCCTGTCTCTTATGTATCTGGATAACACTTTACAGTATGCCCCCTTATAAAAGCTTTATGAATGCATACTTGACAGCTACATAAGACATTATAACATCAGTACCTGCATACAAAACCAGTTGGATTCTGTCTCGTATGTGGTTTATCTGGGTGTCTGTTGAGTCGACCGCTCGGTTCACCATAGCATGGGTGGTGTCGTTGGGGGCGGGCACAAGCAGCGGGCCGACAATGAAGGAGCACGCCGCCCCCAGGTAGCTCATCAATGAGGCGACAGCGGTGGCTGTGGCTCGTTGGTCCGGAGCGAACCATGTGGTGGAGAGGAGGGGGCCGGCACTCATTATGGTTGGACCAGCCAAACCATTCAGCAGCTGACCCCCGTGTATTAACCTGCAGAGAGGATAGGGAGGGAAACATGAAACATTAATATCACATTATGCATATATACAACAGATGCAATGTAGCCAGACAGTGTAACCAGAGAGATGCCATTAACAAGAAAGAATGCATTTCCCTCAGCATGTAACCTACAGTTGAAGCCGGAAGTTTACATACACCTTAGCCAAATACATTTAAACTCAGTTCTTCACAATTCCTGACATTTAATCCTAGTACAAATTCCCTGTCTTAGATCAGTTAGGATCACCACTTTATTTTAAGAATGTGAAATGTCAGAATAATAGTAGAGAGAATTATATATTTTAGCTTTTATTTCTTTCATCACATTCCCAGTGGGTCAGAAGTTTACATACACTAAATTATTATTTGGTAGCATTGCCTTTAAATTGTTTAACTTGGGTCAAACGTTTAGCGTAGCCTTCCACAAGCTTCCCACAATAAGTTGGGTGAATTTTGTCCCATTCCTCCTGACAGAGCTGGTGTAACTGAGTCAGGTTTGTAGGCCTCCTTGCTCACACAAGCTTTTTCAGTTCTGCCCACAGATTTTCTATATGATTGAGGTCAGGGCTTTGTGATGGCCACTCCAATACCTTGACTTTGTTGTCCTTAAGCTATTTTGCCACAAATTTGGAAGTATGCTTGGGGTCATTGTCCATTTGGAAGACCCATTTGCGACCAAGCTTTAACTTCCTGACTGATGTCTTGAGATGTTGCTTCAATATGTCCACATAATTTTCCTTCCTCATGATGCCATCTATTTTGTGAAGTGCACCAGTCCCTCCTGCAGCAAAGCACCCCCACAGCATGATGCTGCCACCCCAGTGCTTCACGGTTGGGATGGTGTTCTTCGGCTTGCAAGTTACCCCCTTTTCTTCCAAACATAACAATGGTCATTATGGCCAAACAGTTCTATTTTTGTTTCATCAGACCAGAGGACATTTCTCCAAAAAGTATGATCTTTGTCCCCATGTGCAGTTGCAAACCGTAGTCTGGCTTTTTTATGGTGGTTTTGGAGCAGTGGCTTCTTCCTTGCTGAGCGGCCTTTCAGGTTATGTCGATATAGGACTCGTTTTACTGTGGATATAGATACTGTTGTACCGGTTTCCTCCAGCATCTTCACAAGGTCCTTTGCTGTTGTTCTGGGATTGATTTGTACTTTTCGCAACAAAGTACGTTCATCTCTAGGAGACAGAACGAGTCTCCTTCCTGAGCGGTATGACGGCTGCGTGGTCCCATGGTGTTTATACTTGCGTACTATTGTTTGTACAGATGAACGTGGTACCTTCAGGCGTTTGGAAATTGCTCCCAAGGATGAACCAGACTTGTGGAGGTCTACAATTTGTTTTCTGAGGTCTTGTCTGATTTCTTTAGATTTTCCCATGATGTCAAGCAAAGAGGCACTGAGTTTGAGGGTAGGCCTTGAAATACATCCACAGGTACACCTCCAATTGACTCCAATGGAGCTTCTAAAGCCATGACATCATTTTCTGGAATTTTCCAAGCTGTTTAAAGGCACAGTCAACTTAGTGTATGTAAACTTCTGACCCACTGGAATTGTGATACAGTGAATTATAAGTGAAATAATCTGTCTCTAAACAATTGTTGGAAAAATTACTTCTGTCATGCACAAAGTAGATGTCCTAACCGACTTGCCAAAACTATATTTTGTTAACAAGAAATTTGTGGAGTGGTTGAAAAACGAGTTTTAATGACTCCAACCTAAGTGTATGTAAACTTCCGACTTCAACTGTATGTGAGAAACTCACTGTCATTTTAATTCCAGTGTTAACCTATAGGGAAAAGGAGAGCTTAAAAATGAATAAATGTCATTATAACAATATATTAAATATATCTCTATGGGTATGGTTACTTATGACCATATTTCTTCTTCTTTCTATAATATACTCCTGTCCGAGTCAGGATTCTCTCATAAAGTCTGAGTCCTGTTGGTGCAGTGTGAGATCTGAGTCGTCCCCTGTGCCCAGCCAGCCCTTCCCAACCCAGTGTGTCTGAGTGGCAATAGAGAACATCGTCTAAAAAGGGGATGGCAAACTACGGATCTGGCCCGTGAACCCATTCAATCGGAACCGAGGTAGGTTTGACTTTAAAAATATATATATTTAAAATATATATTATTTTGGTTAAGAAAAAACACTCCAGGCCACTCTTGAACATGTAAAACTAGATAGAAAGTATGTAGAAATTATAGTGGACCTATATATTTTCAAATAACTGCCCTTTTTCTGGCCAGCAAATTGCTTTTGAGAACAACCAAAAGCGGTCCCCCCAAAAAGATTACGTGACCCTCCGCAGAATTTTGAAGCCCGATGTGGCCCTCGAGCCAAAATTATTGCCCACCTCTGGTGTAAATCCTTTAACGATTCTTATTATTAGCATTAATGTGGGTATGATTTATGATAAAATGGTTATCTTTCCAGATAGAAGCTTATTTTATTCAAATCAGCTTGGTAAATGTACTATAACTCTTCTAAAAGATTACAAGGTAGGCAACAAAGGTGAGACTAAAAATAACTATTAAGAACCTGTGCATCCTCTTTCCTGTGTCTTATCTCGAGGAAAAGAACACAGCACTAATATTGACAGACATTCTGCTACAGTCCTGGCACTCGTAAACCAGTCGAACGCTGCTGTCTGCCTTGAGTTCAAACCAGATAAGCTCATAGCATAAGACAAAGAGCTGTCAACACTGGCAAGACAGATCGATGGAAGTGTCACTATCCCATATCTCCTCCTGAGATCTTCTCAAACGATGGTTAACTCCCCCCTCCCTCCATCTCCTACAAAACTATACCTCACTTCTCTCCTCTCTCTCCCTCTCACACTGTGATCACTCATTCTATTCAAGTCAAACAGAATGAAATGTATGATTTATGGCGCCCGCTTGTCCACAAATCTATCTTCCACCTGCTACACTTGATGACATCACATCCTAAAAGTGACCTGTGGATAATTCAAAATCCTCATTCAATTTTTATTAGATATGATTTCAGATGTAATACACTTGCGGCTTTTTTCAATGCTGAATTGAATGTCATTGAGAAAACAGAAAGGTGTCATAAAGTATTTTTTTCACAAACATATTTTCTGAATTTAAAAGTAATCCAAAAAGTAATCTAGTTTTTCAAAAGTATCTGTAATCTGCTGGTAACGTAACTGATTGAAGTTAGTTTTTTTGTAATCAGATTACATGTAACTGATTACATGTAAGGGAGTGGGTTGTTCTGATTACATGTAAGGGAGTGGGTTGATCTGATTACATGTAAGGGAGTGGGTTGTTCTGATTACATGTAAGGGAGTGGGTTGTTATGATTACATGTAAGGGAGTGGGTTGTTCTGATTACATGTAAGGGAGTGGGTTGTTCTGATTACATGTAAGGGAGTGGGTTGTTCTGATTACATGTAAGGGAGTGGGTTGATCTGATTACATGTAAGGGAGTGGGTTGTTCTGATTACATGTAAGGGAGTGGGTTGTTATGATTACATGTAAGGGAGTGGGTTGTTCTGATTACATGTAAGGGAGTGGGTTGTTCTGATTACATGTAAGGGAGTGGGTTGTTCTGATTACATGTAATCAGTTACTCTCCAACCCTGGGTGTGGAAGAGTGGAGGAAGGAGAGGAAGAGGGGAGGACATGAGGGAGGGCAGTCGTACTGCGTGAGATTATTCACTTAATGTATATTGATGAACCCTGTCAGAGAAAATCTCATTGCTCTGAGACCAAGTCAGCCCAGCATGCGAAAGAGTCAGTCAGTTAGATATATGGTATGCTCGTGTCTCGAACCTGGCATATTGCGACAGAAATGATAACACTGCCACTTCCAGATACCCGCTCCAATCTAATGTATCAGAGGGTGGTAGAATCAGAGAGGCAATGGCAGTATCATTGGCACAGTGGCAAAGTTGGCAGTTGGTACAGGGACACGACATGTCATGGCTGTGTGTGTGTGTGTGTGTGTGTGTGTGTGTGTGTGTGTGTGTGTGTGTGTGTGTGTGCGCGTAGCCAATCAATGAGACATGAAGATATTACTAAGAGAGAGGGACCTTTGCATCAGTGTTCTCTGTATTTGCATACATTTGAGCATTGCCTACTTTAATTCAAGAGTTATCATAGTATTGCTCTGCTCTGACCTTCGTTAAATGAGTGACCATTATAATGGTGTCTTGTCTTTTATCCTCCTCCCCTGCCATGGCCTCTTTTCAGATATTCTGACTCACACACAGATCGCCTTCAGGTACGTTTCCTTACTTGAACTACACTAGAGCACAGCTCTGACAACAGGAAGGTGTTTCAATCTCACAACCCACTCCCTTTGATTCTAATAAATGAGCTCCGAACTGAACAAAGTTTACCCTCCAGAGCATATGGTGAAAAAAATATGCCCATCGAACATGAAACGATTGTTTTCCCTCTTTAAAAAAATGATCTAGTGTGTGCTGTCAGGGGAGCCCTGCTGTTTCTAAATCAAGCTTTAGGAGGTGGTGAAAATCAAAGGCTCTATTTGATCGCTGCCTGCGATGCCCTTGAACTCACTCAGCTCCTTTCAGATTCTCTCCTTTTCTATCCTCACCTGTTCTCCTCCTCTCTTCTCCTATCAGCTTCCATCCTCTCCCCTTCGCTCTGCTCCTCTTCTCCTCCTTTCCTTTCCTCTCTCATCTCCTATCCTAACCACTCCTCTTTCCTTTCCTGTCCTCTCCCCTCTTCTCTTCTATCCTGTCTTCTCCACTCCCCTTTCATCTCCTCTTATTCCCACTGTCCTCTCCTCAACAGATCAGCAGTGCCTCTTACCATTGGTCGTATCACCATCGTAGCCCCAGAAGCATCCACACTCTTAATATTTCAAGAGAGATGTAAATGGCATATTTATGTGTGTGTGTGAGACAAGTATACGGCAGCAGCATGGATAAAAAATAACACAAACCCCATGTCTCAGAACTCAAACTGTGCTGCTCACTGTGTAGCCATAGACCTATGTGCAACAGCAGCACATACAATGCAATGATTGACACCTGCTGGTGATTTAGGGAACTGTTAATGGATGGATCATAGGCTGTTAGATACACAGCTCAATAAGGCTTTACTGTTCAGTGGAAATATTAAGGAATCATATACGGCTGAGGGAAAGGGTCAGAGGTTACCTCAGGTTATCTATTCTGATTTCCAAAGGTCAGACCAATTTTAAGCCCTCTGAAAAATGTCATAAATCCACTTTATGGTTTAAACGCACAGAAGCTGCTTGCTCAGGAACTGTACAACTCACAGAACAGTACGGTTGCCATGGTATGAGGGAGGTATTCCACTCGCATGGCATAAGGATCTATCTTCCCTCTAAGAGTACATTTTGACATCACTAATGCATTTTCATAAAAGGCACAAAGTTGATCATAAAATCATCACTTACTGGCATTACAACTGTTAGTTACTCTTAAATACTACAACTATAAACGTAGGTTGACAGGAATTAGTACAGGAGTTAGGATTGGTAAGCATGTCTTCAATTGTTTGTCCCGAATAGGCTAGATGTTTAATAATGTAATCCCAGGAACTGTGAGAGCAGAGCAGCCTTCTCAGGGATAGTGCTTTACATAGTATGGGTGTAAATCCTTTACGTATTGGCACTATCACCTCGATAGTAACACTGTCTGGGTCTCAGTTGGATGCTGAGATCTTATAATATAAGATCTCACAACAGCACTCCGCAGAGTATTTCCTCTGTTGATGTAATCTGTTGATGTAATATTATTACATCAACAGAGGAAATACTCTGCGGAGTGCTGTTGTGTTGGCATCCTTACTGCCTGCAATGTAACGCTCCTCCACTAGAACCGCCTCTCTTGTTTGATGGCGTATGCCTCATCATGTGACCCTGTATTTCTCACATGACAGAGTACAAGAGCATATGCTCTCTCCAGCCATACAGGCCTAGTCACTGTAAAAACGTCCACACCAATGCCATATATATTATGTCATGCTTATGGATGACCCTAGGTCAAGGACATGTATACTGTCAAGTCAGCTTTATGCAGGTCTCTAGTCTAGTACGCACACACACATACACACACACACTCACTCACACACACACACGTATTCTGTTGTTCCATACTCAGCTGCCCTCTGAAGCATAGAGGTGACAGGGAGAATGAAGACTAACGGGGCATGAAGAGGTTGTTGTCAGTTAAGTGCAGTAAAGGCACATAGCCTTAGCCTGGTCCCAGATCTGTTTGGCACCACAAACAGATTTGGGACCAGACTAACAAAGCCTGGGGCAAGCGTAATATAAAAGTTTATACTTTCTTCAAACACCTTTAATTTTCTACAACGAAGGAATCAATCATGAGTCTCATTTCCTAAGTATCCCTCCTAAAACAAGAGCCAATCTTTCCAATTTATGTTTAGTCTGTATTTTAATATTGCAATAAACTGAACTAATGGTCTCATTTTACAGAACCAATCAGACTCCGAGAAAATGTGCAGTTAGAATACAATTCGTTTTTTACCTTCCCTTTGGGACTGAAATTAACAAACCTAACATCATAAATTAAGTTGGTGAAAGTGCTATACACCTCATTAAGGGAATACAATTTCCTTCCTCAATTGAAATACCCTTAATGTATCATCTGAATGGAACTCAACGTGGAGCCTAATTAGAAATATGTGGCAGATTAAGGTAGGATAATAAAAGTACCTTTATACCTAAGGTAATCCAGATAACTTTGCCTGGGACTCCTTTAAACGCACAGGTGCTTTTTTTAGAAAGTGGAGGAAATATTGACTACATATATTCTGCTGGTGGAAATAAGGATGACAGAAATGAATGAATGTGAATGAAAGCCGTAGTCAATAAGAACAGAAAATAAGCATCCACACAATTCAACTATTAAAATAGAATACTAATCTCTGAAATGGTGCGTCTCAATCCCATTCCAGGTCTCTGCTATTATGAGGCCTTCAAAACGAGCAGGAACTATTTCAATGCGACAGTTCAATACTGCAACACATCAATACGACTGGAAAACTAGCGATTCATGAATTCCTTCATTCATCAAATCTATGTTCAACTAGATGGGTCATTTCTTTCCTCCCTAAATCCGCAATTTAAAAGCAGAAACCAGGCACCCTGAAACCAGCAAATTACCATAGCTATTCAAATTATTGGTAATTGTAATAAATATACAATTCTGTGTAGCCTACTTTTGATCTGAGTTTTCTAGAGAAATGATCTTGTATGGAAACTCATGCCAGAGTACAATGCATTCGGAAAGTATTCAGACCCCTTGACTTTTCCCACATTTTGTTACGTTACAGCCTTATTCTAAAAGGGATTTTTTTTTTGTATATATCCTTAATCTACACACAATACCCCATAATGACAAAGCGAAAACAGGTTTTTAGAATTTTTTGCAAATGTATTTCAAATAGAAAACAGAAATACCTTATTTACATAGGTATTCAGACCCTTTGCTATGAGACTCAAAATTGAGCTAAGGTGTATCTTGTTTCCATTGATCATCCTTGAGATGTTTCTACAACTTGATTGGAGTCCACCTGTGGTCAATTCAATTGATTGGACATGATTTGGAAAGGCACACACCTGTCTATATAAGGTCCCACAGTTGACAGTGCATGTCAGAGCAAAAAGCAAGCCATGAGGTCGAAGGAATTGTCCGTAGAGCTCCGAGACAGGATTGTGTCGAGACACAGATCTGGGGAAGGGTACTAAAAAATGTCTGCAGCATTGAAGATCCCCAAGAACACAGTGGCCTCCATTGTTCTTAAATGGAAGAAGTTTGGAACCACCAAGACTCAGCCAAACTGAGCAATCGGGGGAGAAGGGCCTTGGTCAGGGATGACCAGATGGTCACTCTGACAGAGCTCCAGAGTTCCTCTGTGGAGATGGGAGAAGCTTCCAGAAGGACAACAATCTCTGCAGCACTCCACCAATCAGGCCTTTATGGTAGAGTGGCCAGACGGAAGCCACTCCTCAGTAAAAGGCACATGACAGCCTGCTAGGAGTTTGCCAAAAGGCACCTAAAGGACTCTCAGACCATGAGAAACTAGATTCTCTGGTCTGATGAATCCAAGATTGAACTCTTTGGCCTGAATGCCAAGGAGGAAACCTCGCATCAAACCTACAGTGAAGCATGGTGGTGGCAGCATCATGCTGTGGGGATGTTTTTCAGCGGCAGGGACTGGGAGACTAGCCAGGATTGAGGGAAAGATGAACGGCGCAAAGTACAAAGAGATCCTTGATGAAAACCTGCTCCAGTGCACTCAGGACCTCAGAGTGGGGTTCACCTACCAACAGGACAACGGCCCTAAGCACACAGCCAAGACAACGCAGGAGTGTCTTTGGGACAAGTCTCTGAATGTCCTTGAGTGACCCAGCCAGAGCCCGGACTTGAACCCGATCGAACATTTCTGGAGAGACCTGAAAATAGCTGTGCAACAACGCTCCCCATTCAACCTGACAGAGTTTGAGAGGATCTGCAGAGAAGAATGGGAGAAACTCCCCAAATACAGGTGTGCCAAGCTTGTAGCGTCATACCCAAGAAGACTCGAGGCTGTAATCGCTGCCAAAGGTGCTTCAACAAAGTACTGAGTACTTATGTAAATGTGATATTTCAGTGTTTTATTTTGAATACATTTGCACAAAAGAAAATTAAAAACTGTTTTTGCTTCATCATTAGGGGGTATTGTGTGTAGATTGATGAGGGAGGAAACATTTTATCATCAATTTTAGAATAAGGCTGTAACGTAACAAAATGTGGAAAAAGTAAAGAGGTCTGAAAACTTTCCGAATGCACTGTAGACCAGGTCTGAGCAGAATCATACAGCGTGGAGCATACAGTCAGGTTCAACATTATTGGCACCTTTGATAAAGATGAGCAAAAAAGACTGTATAAATAATTCTAATAGTGAGCTATATTGTATGCTCAAAGAAATTGGATAATTATATTATTTTATACTAATATAATTGCTCAGAGAAAGAGATTTTGTTTAACAAGCAATATAATTATATAAATTGTCAAAATTATTGGTACCCGAAACATTCTATCTAAATTAAATCTGCATTAACATTCTACTTTTTACTATTTTTTAAGCAAAAAAAAAATATATATATATACAGTTGAAGTCGGAAGTTTACATACACTTAGGTTGGAGTCATTAAAACTTGTTTTTCAACCACTCCACAAATTTCTTGTTAACAAACTATAGTTATGGCAAGTCGGTTAGGACATCTACTTTGTGCATGACACAAGTAATTTTTCAAACAATTGTTTACAGACAGATTATTTCACTTATAATTCACTGTATCACAATTCCAGTGGGTCAGAAGTTTACATACACTAAGTTGACTGTGCCTTCAAACAGCTTGGAAAATTCCAGAAAATGATGTCATGGCTTTAGAAGCTTCTGATAGGCTAATTGACATCATTTGCGTCAATTGGAGGTGTACCTGTGGATGCATTTCAAGGCCTACAGTGCCTCTTTGCTTGACATCATGGAAAAATCTAAAGAAATCAGCCAAGACCTCAGAAAAACAATTGTAGACCTCCACAAGTCTGGTTCATCCTTGGGAGCAATTTCCAAACACCTGAAGGTACCACGTTCATCTGTACAAACAATAGTACGCAAGTATAAACACCATGGGACCACGCAGCCGTCATACCGCTCAGGAAGGAGACGCGTTCTCTCTCTTAGAGATTAACGTACTTTAGTGCGAAAAGTGCAACTCAATCCCAGAACAACAGCAAAGGACCTTGTGAAGATGCTGGAGGAAACAGGTACAAAAGTATCTATATTCACAGTAAAACAAGTCCTATATCGACATAATCTGAAAGGCATCTCAGCAAGGAAGAAGCCACTGCTCCAAAACCGCCATTAAAAAGCCAGACTACGGATTGCAACTGCACATGGGGACAAAGATCGTACTTTTTGGAGAAATGTCCTCTGGTCTGATGAAACAAAAATAGAACTGTTTGGCCATAATGACCATCGTTATATTTGGAGGAAAAGGGGGAGGATTGCAAGCCGAAGAACACCATCCCAACCGTGAAGCACGGGGGTGGCAGCATCATGCTGTAGGGGTGCTTTGCTGCAGGACGGACTGGTGCACTTCACAACATAGATGGCATCATGAGGAAGGAAAATTATGTGGATATATTGAAGCAACATCTCAAGACATCAGTCAGGAAGTTAAAGCTTGGTCGCAAATGGGTCTTCCAAATGGACAATGACCCCAAGCATACTTCCAAAGTTGTGGCAAAATGGCTTAAGGACAACAAAGTCAAGGTATTGGAGTGGCCATCACAAAGCCCTGACCTCAATCCTATAGAAAATGTGTGGGCAAAACTGAAAAGGTGTGTGCGAGCAAGGAGGCCTACAAACCTGACTCAGTTACACCAGCTCTGTCAGGAGGAATGGGCCAAAATTCAAAATTCACCCAACTTATTGTGGGAAGCTTGTGGAAGGCTACCTGAAACGTTTGACCCAAGTTAAACAATTTAAAGGCAAAGCTACCAAATACTAATTGAGTGTATGTAAACTTCTGACCCACTGGGAATGTGATGAAAGAAATAAAAGCTGAAATAAATAATTCTCTCTACTATTATTCTGACATTTCACATTCTTAAAATAAAGTGGTGATCCTTACTGACCTAAGACAGGGAACTTTTACTAGGTTTAAATGTCAGGAATTGTGAAAAACTGAGTTTAAATGTATTTGGTTAAGGTGTATGTAAACTTCCGACTTCAACTGTATACCACTTACCACTGTTAGGGCAACAATTAAGAAGTTTAAACCACTGGAACAGTATTGGACACAGGTGTACTAAGCTCAGTGAGGAGGATGGTTCGAGAGGCAAAGAAAAATCCAAGGCCCAAAGTTGGAGAATTATAGAACTTGGTCGCATCTTTGGGTCACCAAGTCTCCAAATCTACAATTAGACACCACCTCCATGCCAACAGGCTCTTTCGAAGGGTTGCCAGAAAAGAAGCCTTCATTGAGAGCAACCAACAAATGTAAACGCCTGGAATTTGCTAAAACGGCATTAGCTCTTGGATTGGAACCGGTGCTATGGTCAGATGACACGAAAATAGAGCTCTTCGGCCACGCAGACCAGTGGTGGGTTTGGCATCGAAAGAAGGATGCATATGCAGAAAGGAACCTCATACCTACTGAATGGTTGTGTCTATTTCATGTTATGGGGCTGTTTTGCTTCCACTGGTCCTGGTGCCCTTGTTAAGGTCAACGGGATTATACATTTTATCAAGTACTAGGACATTTTAGCCAAAAACCTGGTTGCCTCTGCCAGGAAACTGAAACTTGGCCGCAAGTGGATCTTCCAACAAGACAAAAATCCCAAGCACACAACAAAATCCACAAAGAAATGGTTCATTGACAACAAAATCAACATTTTGCAATGGCCAACTTTGTCTGCGGACTTTAACCTCATTGTAAATCTGTGGTTTGAATTGAAGAGGGCAGTCCTTAAGTGCAGACCGAAGGATATCAAGGATCTGTAAAGATTATGTATGGAGGAATGGTCTAAGATCCCTCCCAATGTGTTCTCCAATCTCATAAAACATTTTTGAAAACAGGGGTGCCAATAATTTTGACACCTACAGTACCAGTCAAAAGTTTAGACATGTACTCATTCAAGGGTTTTTCTTTATGTCTTACTATTTTCTACATTGTAGAATAATAGTGAAGACATCAAAACTATGAAATAACACATATGAAATCATGTAGTAAGCAAAAAAGTGTTAAACAAATCAGAATTTTAGATTTTAAATTCTTCAAAGTAGCCACCCTTTGCCTTGATGACAGCTTTGCACACTCTTGGCATTCTCTCAACCAGCTTCATGAGGAATGCTTTTCCAACAGTCTTGAAGGAGTTCCCACATATGCTGAGCACTTGTTGGCTGCTTTTCCTTCACTCTGCGGTCCAACTCATCCCAAACCATTTCAATTGGGTTGAGGTCGGGTGATTGTGGAGGCCAGGTCATCTGATGCAGCACTCCATCAATCTCCTTCTTGATAAAAATAGCCCTTACACAGCCTGGAGGTTTGTTTTGGGTCATTGTCCTGTTGAAAAACAAATTATAGTCCCAATAAGCGCAAACCAGATTGGATGGCGTACGGCTGCAGAATGCTGTGGTAGCCATGCTGGTTAAGTGTGCCTTGAATTCTAAATAGATTTGGACTCATCAGACCAAAGGACAGATTTCCACCGGTCTATGTCCATTGCTCGTGTTTCTTGGCCCAAGCTCTTCTTATTATTGGTGTCCTTCTTTGCAGCAATTCGACCATGAAGGCCTGATTCACGCAGTCTCCTCTGAACAGTTGATGTTGAGATGTGTCTGTTACTTGAACTCTGTGAAGCATTTAATTGGGCTGCAATCTGAGGTGCAGTTAACTCTACTGAACTTATCCTCCGCAGTAGAGGTAACTCTGGGTCTTCCGTTCCTGTGGCAGTCCTCATGAGAGCCAGCGCTTGATGGTTTTTGCAACAGCACTTTCAAAGTTCTTGAAATGTTCCGGATTGACTGACCTTCATGTCTTAAAGTAATGATGGACTGTCATTTCTCTTTGCTTATTTGAGCTGTTCTTTCCATAATATGCATTTGGTCTTTTACCAAATAGGGCTATCTTCTATATACCACCCCTACCTTGTCACAACACAACTGATTGGCTCAAACGCATTAAATAAATTCCACAAATTAACTTTTAACAAGGCACACCTGTTAATTGAAATGCATTCCAGGTGACTACCTCATGAAGCTGGTTGAGAGAATGCCAAGAGTGTGCAAAGCTGTCATCAAGGCAAAGGGTGGCTATTTGAAGAATCTCAAATATAAAATATATTTTGATTTGTTTAACACTTTTTTGATTACTACATAATTCCATATGTGTTATTTCATAGTTTTGATGTCTTCACTATTATTCTACAATGTAAAAAATATTTCAACAAAATAAATAAAACTTGAATGAGTAGGTGTGTTCAGAGTTTTGACTGGTAGTGTATAGGTCCATTATAATTTCTACATACAACAAACCTCCCGTGGGCCAGATTGAATGGGCTCGGGCCGTAATTTGCCCACCCCTGATTATACAGTATGGACCAGGTGTCTCCAACAGGTAGATAACAAGCTACCAGTAGCTCGCAGGCCACCTATGAGTAGCTCGCCAAACAATTCTGAACGTACATGCAATTTTCATGTCTTCCACCTCACAAGTATCAAACACTGCAACCTCCCAGCGACTATCTAATCAACACAACATTGACATTATCTCACCCCTGGTCCGCCAGTATTGGCTTAAAAAGCCAAACCTAAGACAATATCTGCCAATTAATTTCCAGCAATATTGCCGCTGTCTGTCTGTGTGGTGCACGTGTTTGTTTATCACTCCGTGTGAAGCCAGTTGATGTGATAACTGTGGTGGGTTGACAGAAATAGTTTCAACAAAACCTTCTCAATTAAATGTTAATTACAAAGTAGGCTTACCTGGTAGATGTATATTATGAGGAAGTGTACAGTATCATTTGTATCTAATATTTGTTATTTGCTAACTTTGCCATGAAATGAGCATCAGCAGTACAGAACCATCACTAAACAGGCACATTAGACGGCACATTCCTCACTCGCTAGATGCGTACAAAAAAATAACAAAATCTATGTTTGTTCTCTTCCAGACCTCCCCCAAAAATGGTCTTCTGATGCGATTTAAGCATTGACATGGACTCTGAACATCCAATTTCGTTGTTTCTCTATAAACAATTGTAATTTTGAGAGTGAAAAACTAAAATAATCTAAAACAAGGAAAAATCTAACTGAGGATACATCATTTGGGAAAATATCTAACAGAATTTGGAGACAAAAATCACTGATTTTTTAGGACCCTCCTTAAGAGTTGCCTATTAACCATTATTTTACCAGGTATATTGACAGAAAACATAGTGCACTACTTTCTCTTGTATACTAAGGACCAGGGGAATAGTTGCAGGCAAGTGGAGAAGAGAAGAATGTTCCTATTTGAAAGTTTTCAAAAGATGAGTAGCTCTCATGCTAGAAAAGGTTGGAGACCGCTGGTATGGACTATATATAAAGTATATAGCATGGCTCTGGGTGTGAGGGAGTGTGTGTTGTTACCATCGCCTTAGTTGTTGTTCTGGTACAGGGACACTTCGCAGCGCTGCCCCAATCACCATGAAGAAGGCTGACAGTAGAAGAGATGCGCGCAGACCTGCAGCACAGGAGGGGAGAGATGGAGAGAGAGGGGAGAGGTGGAAAAAGAGGGGAGAGATGGAGAGAGAGGAAATAGAAGAGGGGAGAGAGAGATAGGGAGAGGTGGTGTTGAGGTAGGTTAGGTTGGGGAGTAGAGAGAGAAACATTTGAGGTTATTTTGTATTCTGTATTATTCTTCCAAAGGTTACAGTACGACTATACTATATATACAAAAGTATGTGGACACCCCTTCAAATTAGTGGATTCAGCTATTTCAGCCACACCCATTACTGACAGGTGTATAAAATCGAGCAAACAGCCATACAATTTCCTTAGACAAACATTGGCAGGAGAATGGCCTTACTGAAGAGCTCAGTGACTTTCAACTTGGCACCGTCATAGGATGCCACCTTCCCAACAAGTCAGTTTGTCAGATTTCAGCCCTGCCAAAGCTGCCCCGGTCAACTGTAAGTGCTGTTATTTTGAAGTGGAAACTCCTAGTAGAAACAACGGCTCAGCCGCGAAGTGGTAGGCCACACAAGCTCACAGAACAGGAGCGCCGAGTGCTGAAGAGCGTAGCACGTAAAAATCGTCTGTCCTCGGTTGCAACACTCAATACCGAGTTCCAAACTGCCTCTGGAAGCAACGTCAGCACAAGAACTGTCATCGGGAGCTTCATTAAATGAATTTCCATGGCCGAGCAGCCGCACACAAGCCTATGATCACCATGCGCAATGCCAAGCGTCAGCTGGAGTGGTGTAAAGCTCGCCGCCATTGGACTCTGGAGCAGTGAAAACGTGTTCTTTGGAGTGATGAATTACGCTTCAACATCTGTCAGTCCGACGGACGAATCTGGGTTTGGCGGATGCCAGGAGAACGCTACCTGCCCGAATGCATAGTGCCAACTGTAAAGTTTGGCGGAGGAGGAATAATCGTCTGGGGCTGTTTTTCATGGTTCGGGTTAGGCCCGTTAGTTCCAATGAAGGGAATTGTTAATGCTACAGCATTCAACGACATTCTAGATGATTCTGTGCTTACAACTTTGCGGCAACAGTTTGGGGAAGGCCCTTTTCTGTTTCAGCATGACAATGCCCCCGTGCACAAAGCGAGGTCCATACAGAAATGGTTTGTCGAGATCGGTGTGTGGAAGAACTTGACTGGCCTGCACAGAGTGCTGACCTCAATCCCATCAAACACTTTGGGATGAATGAGAAAGCCGACTGCGAGCCAGGCCTAATCGCCCAACATCAGTGCCCGACCTCACTAATGCTCTTGTGGCTGAATGGAAGCAAGTCCCCGCAGCAATGTTCCAACAAGCCTTCCCAAAAGAGTGGAGGCTGTTATAGCTGCAAAGGGGGACCAACTCCATGGTAATGGCCATGATTTTGGAATGAGAGATGTTCGACAAGCAGGTGTCCACATACTTTTGGTCATGTAGTGTATTTTGTAGAATTTTTGAGACCTCATTCTAAACATTATCCCAAATATGAATCACTAGTGTCCAGTCAACTTCCCCCAAACCACAACATCCCAGTTCTCTTCCTCATATACAAACCCAGAGAAATGCAGCTTCCTGTCTGACTTAAGTCTACATTTTCAGTTCCACCACATGACCATAATTTAAGAGAACTTCTGTTCCCCTACAGTCATCATCTGTTTCCCAATTTCCTCTTGGTAGTGATGAGTGAGTCACTAGCTGAGAAAGTACACAATTGGTGACAAATTGACAGTAGAAATAGGCCTAATCCGATCATCAGATAAACTAAAATCTTATTTTGATCAGATATGACATTTTGAGAAATGTTGGGGAAACCTACATTCTGTATCTTCAAATGTTTCTGTGGGTTCCCTTTAGGAACTCTCTGTTCCTGTCTGTTAGATCTCCATGTACTAAAGATGGCACAACTAAATAATGGCAGATGCTGGTATGTGGTTCCTTTGTGGTTCCTACTTCTCAGATAGAGTTCAATGTGTCAAATCGGAGGGCCTGTTGTCTGGACCTCTGGCAGTCTCTATGGGGGTGCCACAGGGTTCAATTCTCGGGCCGACTCTATTCCCTGTGTATATCAATGATGTCGCTCTTGCTGCTGGTGACTCTCAGATCCACCTCTACGCAGACGACACCATTTTGTATACATCTGGCCCTTCATTGGACACTGTGTTAACAAACCTCCAAACGAGCTTCAATGCCATACAACACTCCTTCCGTAGACTCCAACTGCTCTTAAACGCTAGTAAAACTAAATGCATGCTCTTCAATCGAACGCTGCTTGCACCCGCCTGCCCGACTAGAATCACTACTCTCGGCGGGTCTGACTTAGAATAAGTGGACAAATACCTAGGTGTCTGGTTAGACCGTAAACTCTCCTTCAAGACTCACATTAAGCATCTCCAATCCAAAGTTAAATCTAGAATCGGCTTCCTATTTCACAACAAAGCCTCCTTCATTCATGCTGCCAAACATGCCCTCGTAACACTGACTATCCTACCAATCCTTGACTTCGGCGATGTCATTTACAAAATAGCCTCCAACACTCTACTCAGCAAATTGGATGTAGTCTATCACAGTGCCATCCGTTTTGTCACCAAAAGCCCCATATACTACCCACCATTGTGACCTGTACGCTCTCATTGGCTGGCCCTCACTACATATTCGTCGCCAAACCCACTGGCACCAGGTCATCTATAAATCACTGCTAGGCAAATCCCCACCTTATCTTAGCTCATTGGTCACCATAGCAACACCTGGTATGTGGATCCTTTGTGTACAAAATACATCAAAAATCTAATCTATACCAGGCAGTCGTTGGAGCTGCATTTCATCGGGTTTGGCCTAAATACTACAGTAGCAAAAAATCGTAAACTTCTAACTTTGATATAAGAGTGTACTAGGTAGAAATAGGAGAAGTGTGACTTGTCATGTCAGATTATAACTCGATTAGGAAATAATCTCCTTCATTTGAGAGTCAGGCACACCATCTTTGGAATAACAGCAACATGTAACATCCCTGAGGGGTCTCTAAAAATTTTAGTGCTTTAAAATGTTGAAATCAGATGGACCGCTGCACACAACTCTAACACAAACTCATACGGAGTGATCTCCGTTTATGTACTTCTCCAATTCTAGAAACCCCTGACTCAGAGGGGAAACTTTACAAACACTTTCCTCTTTAGGGCCATATTTAACAGTCAGCTCTGGGAAACTACAGCCATGATTTCACTGACATTCTAAATGTTGTATTACACTGTTATGAAGTGTTTTGATTATGTAACACCCGTAGCCACGTCACGTTTGTTTTAGAGAGACAGTCATGGGATGTTCCTAGATGACTAACTAACCACTTGACAAACTTATGACAGATGCCCTTTGCTTTAATATGCTTTATATGTTGTTTGCTTTTATGTTTCCAACTCTTTTTGTCACCTGATAGTGTGTTCTGGGTGTTAGCTAACTATTTTAAATCAGATGGCGTACTGCATTAGCACCGAACAGCCCCTGCGATATGCAACTTTTCAGGGAGGTCAGGAACCAATATACACAATCATTTAGGAAAGCAAAGGCTAGCTTTTTCGAACAGAAATGTGCATCCTGTAGCATTAACTCCAAAAAGTTTTGGGACACTGTAAAGTCCATGGAGAATAAGAGCACCTCCTCCCAGCTGCCCACTGCACTGAGGCTAGGAAATACTGTCACCACCGATAAATCAACAATAATCGAGAATTTCAATAAGCATTTTGCTACGGCTGGCCATGCTTTCCACCTGGCTACCCCTACCCTGGCCACCAGCTCTGCCCCCCCCGCTACAACTTGCCTATGCCCCCCCCCCCCCCCCCCCCCCCCCCCCTGCTTCTCCTTCACCCAAATTCAGATAGCTGATGTTCTGAAAGAGCTGCAAAATCTGGACCTCTACAAATCAGCTGGGCTAGACAATCTGGACCCTTTCTTTCTAAAATTAGCCACAGAAATTGTACCAACCCCTATTACTAGCCTGTTCAACCTCTCTTTCGTATCATCTGAGAACCCCAGAGATTGGAAAGCTGCCGCGGTCATCCCCTCTTCAAAGGGGGTGTAACTCTAGATCCAAACTGTTACAGACCTATATCCATCCTGCCCTGCCTTTCGAAAGTATTTGAAAGCCAAGTTAACAAACAGATCACCATCCATTTCGAATCCCACCGTACCTTATAATAATAATAATAATATGCCATTTAGCAGACGCTTTTATCCAAAGCGACTTACAGTCATGTGTGCATACATTTTTGTGTATGGGTGGTCCCGGGGATCGAACCCACTACCCTGGCGTTACAAGCGCCGTGCTCTACCAGCTGAGCTACAGAGGACCACAGAGGACCACCTTCTCCGCTATGCAATCTGGTTTCCTAAACGATATTATAACAGCGATCGATAAAAGACAGTACTGTGCAGCCGTCTTCATCGACCTGGCCAAGGCTTTCAACTCTGTCAATCACTGCATTCTTATTGGCAGACTAAATAGCCTTGGTTTCTCAAATGACTGCCTCGCCTGGTTCACCAACTACTTCTCAGATAGAGTTCAATGTGTCAAATCGGAGGGCCTGTTGTCTGGACCTATGGCAGTCTCTATGGGGGTGCCACAGGGTTCAATTCTCGGGCCGACTCTATTCTCTGTGTATATCAATGATGTCGCTCTTGCTGCCGGTGACTCTCAGATCCACCTCTACGCAGACGACACCATTTTGTATACATCTGGCCCTTCATTGGACACTGTGTTAACAAACCTCCAAATGAGCTTCAATGCCATACAACACTGCTTCCGTAGACTCCAACTGCTCTTAAACGCTAGTAAAACTAAATGCATGCTCTTCAATCGAACGTTGCTTGCACCCGCCTGCCCGACTAGAATCACTACTCTCGGCGGGTCTGACTTAGAATATGTGGACAACTACAAATACCTAGGTGTCTGGTTAGACCGTAAACTCTCCTTCAAGACTCACATTAAGCATCTCCAATCCAAAGTTAAATCTAGAATCGGCTTCCTATTTCGCAACAAAGCCTCCTTCATTCATGCTGCCAAACATGCCCTCCTAAAACTGACTATCCTACCAATCCTTGACTTCGGCGATGTCATTTACAAAATAGCCTCCAACACTCTACTCAGCAAATTGGATGTAGTCTATCACAGTGCCATCCGTTTTGTCACCAAAAGCCCCATATACTACCCACCATTGTGACCTGTACGCTCTCATTGGCTGGCCCTCACTACATATTCGTCGCCAAACCCACTGGCACCAGGTCATCTATAAATCACTGCTAGGCAAATCCCCACCTTATCTTAGCTCATTGGTCACCATAGCAACACCCACCCGTAGTATGCACTCCAGCAGGTATATCTCACTGGTCATCCCCAAAGCCAACACCTCCTTTGGCCGCCATTCCTTCCAGTTCTCTGCTGCTAATGACTGGAACGAACTGCAAGAATCTCTGAAGCTGGAGACTCTTATCTCCCTCACTAACTTTAAGCATCAGTTGTCAGAGCAGCTTACAGATCACTGCACCTGTACACAGCCCATCTGTAATTAGCCCACCCAACTACCTCATCCCCATATTGCTATTTACAGTGGGGGAAAAAAGTATTTAGTCAGCCACCAATTGTGAAAGTTCTCCCACTTAAAAAGATGAGAGAGGCCTGTAATTTTCATCATAGGTACACGTCAACTATGACAGACAAATTGAGAAATAAAAATCCAGAAAATCACATTGTAGGATTTTTTATGAATTTATTTGCAAATTATGGTGGAAAATAAGTATTTGGTCAATAACAAAAGTTTCTCAATACTTTGTTATATACCCTTTGTTGGCAATGACACAGGTCAAACATTTTCTGTAAGTCTTCACAAGGTTTTCACACACTGTTGCTGGTATTTTGGCCCATTCCTCCATGCAGATCTCCTCTAGAGCAGTGATGTTTTTGGGCTATCGCTGGGCAACACAGACTTTCAACTCCCTCCAAAGATTTTCTATGAGGTTGAGATCTGGAGACTGGCTAGGCCACTCCAGGACCTTGAAATGCTTCTTACGAAGCCACTCCTTCGTTGCCCGGGCGGTGTGTTTGGGATCATTGTCATGCTGAAAGACCCAGCCACGTTTCATCTTCAATGCCCTTGCTGATGGAAGGAGGTTTTCACTCAAAATCTCACGATACATGGCCCCATTCTTTCTTTCCTTTACACAGATCAGTCGTCCTGGTCCCTTTGCAGAAAAACAGCCCCAAAGCATGATGTTTCCACCCCCATGCTTCACAGTAGGTATGGTGTTCTTTGGATGCAACTCAGCATTCTTTGTCCTCCAAACACGACGAGTTGAGTTTTTACCAAAAAGTTCTATTTTGGTTTCATCTGACCATATGACATTCTCCCAATCCTCTTCTGGATCATCCAAATGCACTCTAGCAAACTTCAGACGGTCCTGGACATGTACTGGCTTAAGCAGGGGGACACGTCTGGCACTGCAGGATTTGAGTCCCTGGCGGCGTAGTGTGTTACTGATGGTAGGCTTTGTTACTTTGGTCCCAGCTCTCTGCAGGTCATTCACTAGGTCCCCCCGTGTGGTTCTGGGATTTTTGCTCACTGTTCTTGTGATCATTTTGACCCCACGGGGTGAGATCTTGCGTGGAGCCCCAGATCGAGGGAGATTATCAGTGGTCTTGTATGTCTTCCATTTCCTAATAATTGCTCCCACAGTTGATTTCTTCAAACCAAGCTTACCTATTGCAGATTCAGTCTTCCCAGCCTGGTGCAGGTCTACAATTTTGTTTCTGGTGTCCTTTGACAGCTCTTTGGTCTTGTCCATAGTGGTGTTTGGAGTGTGACTGTTTGAGGTTGTGGACAGGTGTCTTTTAAACTGATAACAAGTTCAAACAGGTGCCATTAATACAGGTAACGAGTGGAGGACAGAGGAGCCTCTTAAAGAAGAAGTTACAGGTCTGTGAGAGCCAGAAATCTTGCTTGTTTGTAGGTGACCAAATACTTATTTTCCACCATAATTTGCAAATAAATTCATTAAAAATCCTACAATGTGATTTTCTGGATTTTTTTTCCTCATTTTGTCTGTCATAGTTGACGTGTACCTATGATGAAAATTACAGGCCTCTCTCATCTTTTTAAGTGGGAGAACTTGCACAATTGGTGGCTGACTAAATACTTTTTTCCCCCACTGTATATTGCTCATTTGCACCCCAGTATCTCTATTTGCACATCGTCTTCTGCACATCTATCACTCCAGTGTTAATACTAAATTGTAATTATTTTGCACTATGGCCTATTTATTGCCTTACTTACTACATTTGCACACACTGTATATACATTCATTTTCTATTGTGTTTTTGACTGTACGTTTTGTTTATCCCATGTGTAACTCTGTGTTGTTTTTGTTTTTATCGCAGTGCTTTGCTTTATCTTGGCCAGGTCGCAGTTGTAAATGAGAACTTGTTCTCAACTGGCTTACCTGGTTAAATAAAGGTGAAATAAATAAATAAAAGGTGACTGGCAGTTAAACTTGGTATGGCAGCACTCGTCAAGACACTTATGCGTGGCTCCTTCTAAGTGTTACTTTAACTGCCAGTAAATGACACTTTTGACTGGACTGTGTTGTTTGAGAGCTTGGTGAAACAGATTTCACAGACTAAGACATAAGTGGCCCCTAGCCAAAATTCCACAGAGGCAGTAAGTCAGTCACCATTTATTACAGGTACATGTTATTCTATGGTGGCTGGATTGTAATGATTACTCAAAAGACTTGGTGAAGAGAACATACTGAAAAGACAGAAACATTATGTTCTTTCTGTGTGTCAGAGAAACTGTGAGGCCAACCTATATGATGACAGATGTAAACATAGGGAATAATTGTGATGGTTTACTTGTTGTTCAGACCCTTTGTGGGCCAAGCATCATTGTCTTACGTGTAGGTGTGACACGTGTCTCTATGATGACTTTCTCATGGTTTAATCATTTACAGTAGTCTGGGGTCCTGATATTCTACTGAGTAGGAAATGGTGATAAAGCGAGGGTATTTTAACTATTCTTATCTAGTTATTGGCCCAACAACAACATTGAAACTAGGTCAGTCTGAGGGAAACTTGGTATGTCTGAGGGAAAACATTTAAATGTTTGTTTGTTTCCCTTTCTTGTGGTTGATTTGGTTGGGGGGGGAGGGGGGCTTAGCTGATCAACTTTGATCTTTGATTTCTCATCAATATCTTCTCTTGAAAATGTTATTGGGATTTATGTGTCAACAATCCACAACTTCCTGCACTTTGCAATAAAACAATTCTGGGGAAATATAATTTTGGAATGGAGACATGCAATTGTAAAAATATACATGAAGGAAAGTACATTGTGTTCCAGTACAGTATTGTCAACTGCCATTTGGAACAAAACAACTCACCCTTTTTGTCCATTAGCCACATAAATAGCAGCCAAGGTGCGAACCCCACTGGCCCCCATAGAACCAGAACGGCGATATCAGATTTGGCAAAATCGTACGCGTGCATGGCAGAGTTCTGAATTGGGCCCCAAGTGTTCCATACTATCCCTTGCATGAACGCCAACAAGGAAAACAGAGTCAGAACCAGCCATCTTCTCCCGTAGACTTGGCTGTAAACTGGCTGAATGCTCGTCTCGCGGTTAGGATGAACAAGTAGAGGTTCCCTTTCGCCCTCGGTGCTCGATGCAGCACCCATCGCATTTGATACAATGTAGCGTTCGTTCAGAAGTGATTTAGTCCGCGCGAGATGTCCAATCTTCGATTACATAATGGCAACAAATGTACCGGTATCTAACTTCAATATCAGTTGCCCAGAGACACAATAACAATCGATGTCATTGCTTCAATTCAAACTTCACTGCGCATGCCTGGACAGTCACGGATATGGTCACAATTTTGAAACCGAAACCTGGGGTGTATGCATTACTATTATTTGGATTACGTTAAAAAACGTTTCGTCTGTTACTTCACCAACGTAAAACTTTTTGCAACGACAAAAAAATGTAGGTCCCTCCCCGTTTGGTTTCTTTTGCTATTTTTGCTTCTGTTCGGTTCCTAAAGTAAACGGTAAACGATTTCCGTTGCAAAACGTTTTGCAACAGATGAAACGTTTTCCAGCAGATTCCGACTAATGAATACATTTACGTCATTTAGCAGACGCTCTTATCCAGAGCGATTTACAATTAGTGAGTGCATACATTTTCATACTGGCCCCCCGAACCCAAAACCCTGGCGTTGTCAGCGCCATGCTCTACCAACTGAGCTACAGGGGACTACAACCCCGTTCTCATCCATGTTGGTCCCTTCCTCAATAGATGTTAACTCAATAGATGTTAACTGGATTTTCATCCCTTGTTGAGTCGGAATGGCCCCTTAGTTCAACATTACCTTATCCATGAAAAAAAAGAAAAGCATAGAGATAGATAAAGGACTCATGTTTTTATGAGTGCCATTATGGCGCACGTGACAGCATGGCCAGCGCCATTGAAGCAATCTCCATCTTGAAGTAGTCCATTTTCTTCTTCATGATTGGCTGATCGGCCTGTTGGACAGGGCCACAAGGAGGGATCAGCCAATGAAGTTGGAAGTCCCACTCAGTTGACGACATTAAAATGGTGGAAGCACTCAATGGCGCTGCCCTCGCTAAAATAGCCTTTTTGCCACTAGAGACCTCTATCATTCTCAATGGGAAAAAATAACCTCTGAGAAGCCAGCAAGAATAAGGAAGACCTAGCGAGAATAAGGCTGTGACCTACGCGATTTCCCTTCAAAATAAAAGTCCCGCAATAAAGATGTTTAAAAATAATAATAACAATGGTTGAAATTCCTTCTTTTTTTTGGAGGACATGTTAGCAGACGTACTGTTTTTTAAAAGTATGAAAAAATGAAAACAGTTGATTATGGAAGCCCATTTCCGCCACGAAAAAATATAAGAATGTTGATACTACCTTGAAATTTCGAGATAGTATTTAGACACTTTGACTTGCCTATCTAAAAATGTTGAGATACTAATTGTTTAGACAGGGATTGGAACCAAAAAAAAAATCCAATCGTTTCGTTCTGAACAGAACCATTTTTTTGGGGGGGGGTCCTGTTCCACTGTTCTGACCAGCAAAATAAAGTTCTGAACTGGTTCGAACCAAAAAAATAACGATTTACAGTGAGCTCCATAATTCATTGGACAGTGACAATATTTTTGTTATTTTGGTTCTGTACTCTAGCACTTTGAGTTTGAAAGGATACAATGACAATGAGGGTGAAGTGCAGACTGTCAGCTTTAATTTGAGGGTATTTTCATATATATCGGATGAACTGTTTAGAAATGATAGCACCTTTTATACATGGTCCCCCCATTTTAAGGTACTACAAGTATTTGTTAAATTGGCTTCACAGATGTGTGTTGTTAGGCAGGTGTATTCATTTGTGTCGTTAGTGAATGCAGGAGAGCTGTTGATGAATAGCATTGATTCTAGACTTTGCTATTGCCTTTGGAGGTTGTTGTTGTGGTGTGACAACATGAGGAAGACAGCAGTGTCGATGCAAATGAAGCTGGCCGTCATAAGGCTCAGAAATGAAAATCAATCAATCAGGAACATTGCAAAAACCCTGGCCATGCCCAAGTCAACAGTTTGGTTCATCATTAACAAGAAAAAAACAACCGGTGAACTCAATTATGTCAAAAGACCCGGTAGACCGAGGAAGACCACTGTAGTGGATGACCGGAGAATACTCTCTATGGTGAAGAAAACCCCCCTGACAACAGCCCAACAGATCAAAAACACTCTCCTGGATGCAGGTGTAGATGTGTCAAAGTCTACCATACGTAGAAGACTACACCAGCAGGACTACAGAGGGTACACTACAAGATGCAAACCACTGATAAGCCTGAAGAACAGAAAGGCGAGATTACAGTTTGCTAAAAAGCACCTAAAAGAGCCCCAAGAGTTCTGGAAAAAAGTATTGTGGACAGATGAGACGAAGATTAACATGTACCAGAGTGATGGAAAGAGGAAAGTGTGGAGAAAAAAAAGAAATGCCCATGATCCAAAGCATACCACCTCATCCGTGAAACATGGTGGAGGGGGTGTTATGGCTTGGGCCTGTATGGCTGCCAGTGGAACAGGCTCACTTGTCTTCATCGATGATGTGACTGCAGACAGAAGTAGAACAATGAATTCTGAAGTCTATAGAAATATTTTATCTGCTCAGATAAAACCAAATGCCTCCAAACTCATTGGACGGCACTTCATCATGCAACAAGACAATGACCCTAAACATACTGCTAGAGCAACAAAGGGGTTTTTGATGGCCAAAAAGTGGAAAATCCTTGACTGGCCGAGTCAATCACCGGATCTGAATCCAATTGAACATGCATTTTACATGCTGAAGAGGAGACTGAAGGCAATAAGTCCCCAAAATAAGCAGGAACTGAAGATGGCTGCAGTACAGGCCTGGCAGAGCATCACCAGGGAAGATACCCAGCGTCTGGTGATGTCAATGCATCGCAGACTTCAAGCAGTCATTGCATGCAAAGGATATGCGACCAAATATTAACAATGATTACTTTATTCTACATTATGTTAAACTGTCCAATGATTTTTGATGCCCGAAAATGGGGGGGACCATGTACAAAAGCTTCTATAATTCGTAAACGGTTCATCCGATATGTATGAAAATACCCTCAAATTAAAGCTGACAGTCTGCACTTCACCCTCATTGTCATTGTATCCTTTCAAACTCAGTGCTAGAGTACAGAACCAAAATAACAAAAAAATTGTCACTGTCCAATGAATTATGGAGCTCACTGTATATAGTTCCTTTCTGTTCCTTTTTTAACCATCTGGAATCTATATATTTTTTTAAACATTTAGCTCGAAATTCACTTACTTCACCAATGGATACAGAAGCTTTCTATGGAGCAGGAAAGCTATGCATTGGACAAACAAGTGTAGTGTAGGGTGCGACATGTGCCTGAAATTTTGCGGGTGAGGAGAGCACTGGGAATGAAGCGCTGGGCATCTTGTTGTTATGACATGCATTATCTGAATTAGCTAGGCTCACAGAATTATACCTACGGAGGAGCGGCTTCTATGAAGGAACTTTGAATGTCTTTGAACTTCAGAGACTTGGCTTAAATAATGTTGGACCTGAGCTAGCCCTTGATCATGACTCTTAGTTCCATTACATTACACATAATGCCACCTAGTTAATAAATCCAATCTGAAACGTGATCACTATAGTATCCTTAACTAGCATTGCAAAAGTGAATCCATTGTTCTCTAATTAAAATTCTCTCTCCCTTTCAGCTGGCAAGCAGGCAGACAGTGGAAGAAGTTTCTGAGTGACAGTCAGGGCTTTGCATAGGCGCTTTGTGTAAAAGAATGTAACCGGTTCCCATGCTTTTAAAATAACTTTTCTGTTCCAGAACAGTATAGATCACTTTTGTTCTCAGTTCTGGTTCTGTTCCTCGAAAAATGTCATTATTTTCTGGTTTTTGGTTCTGTTCCCTGAACCAGTTCCAACCCCTCATACATATAGGATATGTTTCTTCATTTGTAGCATTGTGTGGCAATTTCCATCTATCCATGTTGCAGAAATCAGCACAGCAGCACCACCGGCAAACGTGTGGCAAGCTGGCATATGCCCCATCACTTTTAATTTGTCTTGATAAAAAAGGTTGACACAAAAGCGTTGAAAATAGGGACAAAGTACTGTTGTTTGCAGCGTCGCTGCTCATTTTGCAGGCCTTAAAGAATACCCCACCACATTGCGAGCAAAACATTTTAGTGGACCCCCTATTTTTATTTTATTTAACTAGGCAAGTCAGTTAAGAACAAATTCTTATTTACAATGACGGCCTACACCGGCCAAACCCAGACGACGCTGGGCCAATTGGGCACCGCCCTATGTGACTCCCAATCACGGCCGGATTATGATACAGCCTGGAATCGAACCAGGGTCTGTAGTGACACCTCTAGCACTGAGATGCAGTGCCTTAGACCGCTGCGCAACTCAGGAGCCGCTGTGCCACTATTGACAGCGGAGAGCATTTTTTTTACATTTTAGAGTTAATTTTGTGCATTTCTACACATTTTGCCATGGGGTGTAGAGAAAATGTTGCAGTTTTAAAGCAAGTTTACTGCAATTCTACACATTTTGCCATTGGGCGGAGAGAAGATTTTGCAATATTATAACTAATTTCCTGCAATTCTACACATTTTGCCATAGGGTGGAGAGAAATGTTTGCCGTTTTTAATATGATATCTGAGTGAGATGACTAACAAAATCAATGGGAGCACCCCGGCTGGTAATTCGACCAGGATAACAAGTTTAATATAGCTGGCCGCTAAACTAACTTAGCAATCTAAAACATTTTAGCTGACTTGGGCTAATTGACTGACTATCAGTGGCTGACATACTGTAACAAAAGAAAAAACTGCTGATGCACAACATTTCGAAATTGCACCTTGTGTATGTAAAGCCTTGTTCACACTGCAGGGCTTAATGCTCAAATCAGTTTTGTTTTTGAAATCGGTTTTGGAATATTGACTGTCCAAACCGCAAGTTATAAGTGACCAAATCGGATTTGTGTGTGATCAGACAGCATTCATTTGCTGACATTACTACTCCAGTGATCATAGAAACGACAGATGTGTGTGCATTGGTATAGGCTGATTGGTGTTGGGGCTCATGCTT